ACATGCTTTAAACCCAATCTCAGGGGACCCTGCCATCCCCCAGCAGGCTTCCATGTACCAGAGGAAGGACCAGCCCAGCCCCTCCCCACTGAGAGATTTTCAGGCCCTTCCTACTCCCCAGGGGCCCCTGTTCCTGGTGCTCTGCCTTACAACAGCCTTTTAGCAGTGATTGCTGTGAAACAGGAGAGCCGACACACCTGCCTCGAGTGTCTGCGTTGGAGATGCTTTCCGTCCAAGGCCAGTGCAAGAGCCGGGTGTGTATTTGTTTAGCATTGGTTTAACTGCAAGGGCCTGATGACATTCCAGAAACAAAGAAGTTCTGCCCCAAGGTGACTTTCTGCGTCTGCTGCTAGAAACTGCTAGCAACTGCACTTCTTCTGCTTAAAGAAAAAAAGAATCCAGTTTCAGTTCAGCAAGCATCTGCTACAGAGCAGGGACGGTGGTCACCCAGCACGGAGCAAAGCCTGAGTCACAAGAATGGTGTTGAGCCCAGAGGAGGAGGAGCAGCATCCCAGGGGGCCTGTCCGGCCTGCTCCGTGAGGCCTGGTCACTCAGCCGAGCTGCGGGTCACCACCCAAAAGAGGCCCACAAAAGCAGCCAGGGAAGTATCCGAGAAGAATCTGAGGTCAGTCAGCCAGTCTACCCTATTCATTTCATGTATCAGAAACTGAACCTCAAGATGGTAAAGACCCTGGCCAAAAACACATGGTCAGACCAGACCCAACCCTTGACCTGTGAATTCGACCCTTGTCCCTTGCTTCCAGTGGAGAGGGACTTCAGAGCAGTTGGTGAAGGCCACCAGCACTTAGGTCCTTTGGCCTGGCCTCTCACCAAGGAAATGGTCACCTGCAGTCCATTCATTCATTAGCAACTCACTGAAGGCCCACAGGTAACCAGTGTCACACAGTGTCACAAAGAAAGGGACGGACCACGATCTACTGTGTGCAAGATGCTTTCAGCTTCTGTTCTTCAAAGACCTTGCCTTAAAGTGGGAATCCTAGAAGCAGAGCCTGAGACAAGGATTCTTGTTCAGGCAGGGAGGGTGAGAATTGTCAGGGAAGGGCTCTAGAGAGGGAAAAGTGACCAGAAGCAGGATGGGGCAGAGGAAGAAGCCAGTGATGTCCCCCCAGGAGAGCAACTTCAGTTTGATCCCCTTGTGTGGTCAGTCATTTGCCAGGGGGCAACCCCCAGGCTAGGCAGCTGTGGGCCATCAACAGCCCGCACTCACGACAGCTGGAAAGTGGATGGGCTGGGGCACTGAGAGCATTGCAGCAGGTGTCTCCACTGTGGGCATGACGGGAAGGTGTGGCTCAGACATTAAGGAGGGCTGGGCGAGGTGGTTCACGCCTGTAATCCCAGCACTTTGAGAGGCCGAGGTGAGTGTATCACCTGAAGTCAGGAATTCAAGATCAGCCTGGCCAACATGGCGAAACTCCATCTCTACCAAAAATACAAAAATTAGCCAGATGTGGTGGTGGGCACCTGTAATCCCAGCTACTCAGGAGACTGAGGTAAGAGAATCGCTTGAACCCAGGAGGCACAGGTTGCAGTGAGCCGAGATAGCACCACTGCACTCCAGCCTGGCTGACAGAATAAGACTCCATCTCAAAAACAAAAAAGATTAAGGAGGCCCTAAGGAGGGTGGAGACAGGAACCAGGGGAGGGTACCCAGACAGCGGGTGGAGGAGCCACGCTGGGCAAGCCGCCTGCTTCTGTGCCCGGGGCTGGCCCTTCCCTTGGTGTTGCCCTCCTGCACTCTGTACTCCGGGAAATTCCTATACAGCCAGGCTGGGCAGGCCCGGTCAGAATAGGCCCCACTGTTGTGTGTGCCAGTCCTGGAGAGTAGGGGTGGCAATGGCTGGTATCTGGGCCCCGGGGAAGGCAGCAGCCTCTTGTCTCTATACCCCACGAGCTTGCCTAAGAGGAAACCCACCTCACTGTCCTCCCTGCAATGGAGGACTCCATGGAATGTCTGAGTCAAAGGCCCTCCTTGGAGAGCAATGGCAAAGTGACCAGGTCTGACAGCAGATGCAGACTGCCTAGGATCTCTGGCTCCTGCAGTTTCTGAATGGAGTCTGGGGTGGGAATTGCAATTGTGCGTTAATACAACTCCCAGGGGACGCCAATGCTCCTGGCCGCCCCTTCCCCCCACCCCCGCCCCTCCACCCCACACTACCTCCACCCGTCCCCATAGCGAGCGTGTGGGGCTTCTGCCTGGAGTCCATTCACCTGTCTTCCCATCTCTGGTTCCCTCTGCTGAGCAAAACCTTTCCGCTCTCAGCATGTGGATTCCAGGCGCAGCTTAGCCCCTCGGCCCTGGGTGTGCACGTGACCGGGCCTTTCAGAACCCTGCACTCCCCGGCCACTGAGACAGGTCTAGTAACAGGCACTGACCTGATTCAGGCCCGCAAAAATAGGACCCTCCACTGTCTCAGATCTGTTAGAGAAAGGACCGGATGCTGCCAGGCAGAGGGCTGAGCTGCCAGCTTCTTCCTGCCCTATAGCCAGAGCCTGGCTGGGTCCGTGTGACCATCGAGCCACTGCACTTTTCATTTACACGAGCTCATCTTTTCCTTTTTTGAAATCTGAGTTGAAGACAGAGCCTGCCTCGCTCCCAGCATCGCCCACCCCCGATGGAGCCACGTTTCAAAGGCACAGTCCCTGAGCTCCTTACACGCAGGACCCTCCTGGCTGACAGAGGCCATGGCAGAAGTCTGAGTCAGGCCACACAGCACAGGGTGGGTCACGGTGCTGAGGCCAGCCCGCCGCACTGCAGCCAGGCCTCCCATTGACAGGAGGGAAGTACCTTACCCGGGTCCCACGGCCACGCGGTGGTGGGCAGGACAGAGGGTCAGGTGTCCAGGGCGCTCTGCGAAAGGCAATCTGCAGTCAGGTCCCGCTGAGGGGAGGCAGGAAGGGGAGCCTCTGTGCCACACTATGCACCTGCATCGTTTACACACCTACTTGTTCGCTTCTCATGACACCATGAGGAAGAGGAGTAGGGAGGGTGACTAACCTCAGGAGAGGCGTGTGCCTGGCCGAGATCTCCCATTGGAGATGGACCATCATGGGGGTCCGATCTCTGACTGGAGCACTCTTAGCAGCCCACTGCTCGGGCACTGAGGGAACACTCTTGAAGCTTCTTGGCAAGTCTGGCCGCACCATGGGCTGAGCAGGCAACAGGGACTGCAGCCTCTATATCTGTTAGTCAGATGCAAAGAGCAGTCACTGCAGAGGCCAGAAGCCAACATTAGCTCATCACTGTGGCTTTGACGTATGTCTTCTAGGCTCTTTGGCCACCAGGTAACCTTGAAGCATAATTCTTCAAGAGATGATGGAGGCAGAAATAGAGGCCACCACCCTGCTCCCCACTAAGCCCCAAATGACCACTCCTTATACCAGCTGATGTCGGGAACATTTATTCAACTCGGTCAGCTCCCGCAGGTGTCAGCAACCTATAGAAACATCCAGTCTGGACCACCACTTCCGTGCAGTCCTGCAGAGGGGGTCCCCGCTGCTCCCACCGCCCCAAGGAGGTAAGAGCTTGAGGCCTCCGACATCCACTTTTGTCTCAGGGGAGCCAGCCCACAGCCCAGTAAAAGGCACCCTCGAGTGAACTCACACAGCCTCTCGCCACACGAACTGCCCATTACCGTCCTCCCCACGAGCTCCAGTGCTTGAGGCACTAGTCAGCTGACAAGTGTTTCCTGAGAGTTAGGAGCCCAGCCATGTGCTAGACTTTGATAGGGCTCAAGAGGAAATGACAGTCCCTTGCCCTCAGGGAGCTCACTGTCTCATTGGGGACTCAAGACACACACAGAGACTGGAGCGTCCGGTGGCGCAGCACGCAGCTGGGAGGTGGGGGCTCACACAGGACCTGTTCGACAGGGAAGGAGGAATATGGGCTGCGTGGTTTGGGAAGCCAGGCCCTGTGGATCAGAAGGGCTTAGTGGGGTACAGGAGGGGAAAGGGGCCACGTCAGAGCAATATAGGGAAGGCACAGAGGCAGGAAAGAGCGCAGCACAGTGACGGGCAGAGGGGGACACAAACTGCACCATTAGCAGAGAAGGGGTGTGTGGAGGCTTCCTCTAGGTTGGCCAAGGATCAGAGCCAGAGTGGAAGCTGCTGGGGCTGGGAGCACCTTCTCATCCTGGGATCCCTCCGCCAAGCCTTGCGCTGTCCCAGGGCGAGCCATACAGTAGGAGGTAAGAACACGTGACCCAAAGTGCATCGAAGACAGCAGGACTCCAGGGCAGGAATCCAAAGGCTGCCCTCCAACCACCCTGACCCAAACCCACCCCAGCCCTGGTCAGTTTCGCCTTTTTGGGGGAAGCAGGTGAGAACTTGTGGGTTCCCTAGGAGGCGGAGGTTGTGGTGAGCTGAGATCGCGCCATTGCACTCCAGCCTGGGCAACAAGAGCATAACTCCATCTCAAAAAAAAAAAAAAAAAAGGAGAACCGTGGATTCCAGGCTGACCGGTTCAGGTGTAAAGATGGGAGGAGTCCTTGCCCTGCTGCCAGCCTGGGCCCTGTTCCCTTCAACTGCACTGCTGCACACTCAGAGAACACACAGAAAGCTCCTCCACTGACCTCTCCCCCTGCCCAGAGCTACAGGGACCAGGATCGAGGCCCCCATCCTCTTCCTCCCCAGCCCACTGGGCTGAACACTTGGCGAGCTGGGAGGCACCACTGACTGGGCTTGGCTGGTAGAAGCAGGATTCTTTCTCCCTGGGACAGACTCAGACCAAACTCGGGTTCCCACAGGTGTCCACAGCAGTCTAGCTTCCCCTGAGACCACACGGTGAAATCAGAGCCCAGCAAGGAGCAAAGGGCTCCTTTGTGGAAGCCAGTGACTAGTCAGGCAGAACAAGAAACACAAAATCAGAGAAAAAAATCTAGCCCAGGGGACCTCAGCCAACGTCTGTGGAAGGGAAATGAGGTTCCAGAAACCTGATGCATTACTCATTAGGTCGGGGAGAAGGGACTGACTAAAAAGGTCCCCTCCTTGGAATTCTTTATTCCCGAACAAAGGAAGGAGGCTTGGCCAGGGGAGGGAGGGGCACTACCTGTACAGTGGCCTTGACTCGGGGCTCAGTGTGTGACAGGTAGCGAATGGGCAGCAGGTGAAGCCCCCGGGGCTGAGGGTCTTAGCCTGGAGTCCAGGGGTGGGTTTCATTCAGGAAGTCCAGTGGCTCCTGAAATTGCTTAGGGTTTTTGAGTCTGCATGAGTTGTCTGTTTTCCTAGAGAAGGTCCGTAACCTTCATCAGATTTTCCAAGGGCTTCGTGTTCCCAGAGTGCTAAGAAGCCCTGCTCAGAAAGGAAAAGGAAGCTGCAGGTTTCATTTACATGTGGCAGAAGGTTTTGCCTCTAGAACCAGGTCTGCCACCAACTTGCTGTGTCAGCTTAGACCAGTCACTTCCTGTCTCTGAACTCTAGCCAAGCGGTGGGCCAGGCAGGAGCAGAGAAGCCAGCTCTCCACACAGGCATCGAACTACCACCAGTGGCAGAGAGTGGCCTATGTCCAGGCAGCCAGGATGAGGTCTGCCCCAGCTGTGGCCCCCACCAGGCCTGGGCAGTTTGTCCACCAGAGCTTGGTATCTGCCTCCAATGCCAGGCTCCAACCAGTCACCTCCACTGGTCACCACGGGGCATCTCTCCAGGAAGGTCTTCGTAGTGGACGTGTCCTCATGCCAGGGTGCAGTGCCAGCCAGGCCCCCGTGGAACCCCATTCCTGGTCTCCACATCCAGATGGGCCCTGCACCTATCGGTCATAAGATCCTCCCACTCCGAATCTGTCCACAGAAACAAAGACATCAGGATCAGGTGTGCTGCCATCACGTGGCCCTGCCCAGCCACCCCTCTGGGGCTAGGAGGGAGTGATCAGCTGGCCTACCCCGAGTCTGTCCTAGGGTTTGAATGAATCCTCTTTGTCTGCTGCTAAGCACTGCAAGGATTATTAATCCCATTTACAGATGAGATACCTTGGGTTCAGGGCATTTTGGTGACTGACTCCAGGTGTCCCAAGCCCCTGTTTAATTTCTTCATCTTTGCCATCAGTGCTAGTCTGCAGCACCTGGAAGTGGTAGGCAGAGGACAGACAGCCTCTGAGGAGCCACAGCCACACAGCACTGAGGAAGCGCAGAGGGGGTAGTAGGGAGGGACCAGTCTCCAGCACTCAGTACAGGACTGAACATGGGGAAGGCTCTGGGGGTGCAGGCCCCCCGAAGTCCCAGCTCCTTTCCTCCCAAACCACTCCCAAGAATGCCATGTCCCCTCCAAACACCCATATCACCCCCAAACCCCCTGTCCCAGCTCCTATCACATGGCCCCACATCCTCCCAGCTCCATTGCCCATGTTTCAGCAGTGGAGCTAAAAGGTCCTAGGATCCAGAATCCAAAACAAAGCCCTGGCTTCCACCCACTGTACAACTAAGTACCGACTGTGGTGTAGGCAAGCTTGGCAAATCTGCTTCCTCATCTGCCAAAAGGCTGAAGAGACCCGTGCCTCTGAGCGCCAGCTTGGAATCAGAGGTCCTGGAGCAGAGTCCTGGCCGCCCCCTTTCTCACTGCCAGACCGTGGCCAGGCCTCTTAGCTGGGAGCCTCATGTTCTCTTGCCCAGATGACCCAAGCACCTCGAGGCTCTAGCTCTTCCCACGTCAGTCTGCCCTCACAATGCCTCTGGTTCTCCTTCTAAAACATAAGTCTGAGATCAGAACACTCATCTCACTAAAAATCTCTGTGTCAGCCGGGCACGGTGGCTCACGCCTAATCCCAGCACTTTGGGAGGCCGAGGTGGGTGGATCACGAGGTCAAGACATCGAGACCATCCTGGTCAACATGGTGAAACCCTGACTCTACTAAAAATACAAAAATTAGCTAGGCATGGTGGTATGTGCCTGTAGTTCCAGCTACTCGGGAGGCTGAGGCAGGAGAATTGCTTGAACTCAGGAGGCGGAGGTTGCAGTGAGCCAAGATCGTGCCATTGCACTCCAGCCTGGGTAACAAGAGCGAAACTCCGTCTCAAACAAACAAAAAAAAAAATCTCAGTGTCCCGGGCCAGGCGCATCTGTAATCCCAGCACTTTGGGAGGCCAAGGTGGGCAGATCACGAGGTTAGGAGTTTGACGCCAGCCTGGCCAGTATGGTGAAACCCCATCTCTACTAAAACTACAAAAATTAGCCAGGAGTGATGGCACACCCCTGTAGTCCCAGCTACTTGGGAGGCTGAGGCAGGAGAATTGCTTGAACCCAGGAGGTGGAGGTTGCAGTGAGGCAAGATCGTGCCACTGCACTCCAGCCTGGGCGACAAAGCAAGACTCCATCTCAAAAAATGAAAGAACAAGAAAAAAACAAAACAAAAAAAACTCAGAATTCTTGCCCCCTGACCGTGAAGTGGGGCAAACCTCCCCTTAGGACACCTGGAGTCAGTCACCAAACTATCAGGACCCCCCTGCAAAAAACACCCTTCTACACAATTGCTCTTCCTAGAACAATTTTATTGTCCCCATGACTGGTTCAAAGCCATCAAACTCCCCTGGGTGACACAGAGAAGCCAGTCACCCTCCTCAGTCTCATCCCAGAGCGCTTTGTAGGCTGGCCCCAACTATCGTCCACATCACACACCAAGTATGAGCAGCCAGTGACACGGCCTGCAGTCCTCATCTGTGTCTCTGGGAGAGCCCAGCGAGGGGCAGTCAGTGGCACATGGGGTGGCAGAATCCACTTAGGCTCTGTGCAGCAGTGACCTCATCCTCTCTCATCCAGTAGCTGCAGTTACAGTCCTAACATCCCAGCGAAGAGGCGCCCCTCATCTATATCCGCACCTTACAGATGAGCAAACTGAGACATGAAGTGAAATGACACTCAAGGACAGCAGAGAGTGTGTACAGGAGCCAGGAGGCCTGGGGGCTGAGGTTGGGCGTGGGGATTGTGGAAAGTGGCCCTCTCCGAGTCTCCTTAGACTCTGACATTCTGGGGATACAGGTCCGGTAAGCCGCTCATTACAGAGAGACCTTCAGACCGGTACCCCCATAACCCCACCTGCCCTCAAGGATCAACACCACCCCACCGCACCACCCGCAGCCCTGAGAGGGACTCTGGCCAGCCCCGCAGGTCTCACCTGCTCTAGGCCGGATGGGCCAGGGAAGGAGCACCGTGGCAGGAGGCCAAAGCAGCTGAGTGCAGCCAGCCGGAGGGTCCAGAGGGAGGAATGCAAGGGGGCGGCCCACACCTTCAAGAGCCCAAGCCAGCCCTGCCCCTCGGCCAGGATCCCATCCAGAGAGGGGGCTGCAGCCCAGGGCCATCTCCAGGGGTCGGGGAGGCACGTGCGGGACAGGAAGCAGCCGTCCGCAGCAGGCCCTGGGCGCATCATAGCACACGGCCTAAGTGGGCGGCCTGGCCCTCCGGCCCGTGGCCGTGGCTGCGCTGGTGGGTCTTGAGCGAGCCCTCGCGCGCGAAGCTCTTGCCGCAGCGGGGGCAGAAGTAGGGCCGCCGCTCCCCGAAGACGCCGGGGCGACGTGGGTGCGGCGCGGGCATGCGCGCGTGGGTGCGCTGGTGGTTGAGCAGGAAGCGCGGCTCGCGGAAGCAGCGGCCGCACTGGGCGCACTGGTGCGGCTTCTCGCCGCTGTGGATGCGCTGGTGCGTGAGCAGGTTCTGCTTGAGGCTGAAGCAGCGGCCGCACTCGGGGCAGGGGAAGGGCCGCTCCCCGGTGTGCGTGCGCTGGTGCACCTCGAGGTTGTGCTTGACGCTGAAGGCCTTGCCGCACTCGGGGCACACGAAGGCGGCCGCGCGGCCCGCCCCGGCGTGCGCCTTCTGGTGCCGCACTAGGCTGGGCTGCTGCGAGAAGGTCTGGCCGCACAGCGGACAGCTGTAGGGCTGCTCCTCCGCCGGGTGGTGGATGACCAGGCCTCGCTCGTCCCCTAGACCCTCCTCCCCGTCCCCGGCAGGGGACCCGCCCCCGGAGGACGCCAGCTCGGTCATGGGCACTTCCAGCTGCAATCACCAGTCCCTAGGGAGACAGAAGCGGAGAGAGGGGTTGAGGGACCCGAGGGTTAGCCAACCCCCAGCCTGGCGGGGGACACTTGCCTCCCACAACCTCACCTTTTGCCCCGTTTTGTTCAAGCTCAAGTTCCCCTGCTGGGAATCGGTGTTGCTTCCTCCATTGCCCTTTACTCACGGCCTATACTCCTTCCAGGCCCTTCTCAAGGGCACCTCCTCCTGGAAGCCTTCCCCAACCCTTCCACCCCAGTCTTACACCGTGTGACACAACCCTGTGGTCCTCACTCATCCGCTGCACGAGAGTCAGTCATGTCACCTTTGTCCCTCAACTCCTAACACCTTAAGGACAGAGCTGCCTTCTTTTAACCCCAGCACCAAGCACCATGTCAGCCACACAAGACACTGGATAGATGCCGATGCATAATATTCGGGGACTCCTAGGATTTTCAGTTACCTTCATCTAAATATGTCCTATCCTTCAACCAGATTCTCAAGGACAGGGGGAGGTAGGGTGGTGCACCCCAAACTTGGAGAGAAGGGTAGGATTATCTGTGACTTAAAGATATGTTTGCAAAGCTTCAAACAAGAAACAAAAACAAAACCCTGTACACCTGAAAGTGACCTCAGTTAAACATTAAAGGCAGCAGCTCTTTGTTTATCAAAACGAGGCATGTGTTCAAAAGGTTTCCAAGTCACTGAACCAGGGTGTGAGCTCCCAGGGGGACTGGTCTCAGCGTGATTCCTCCTGGTATCCTCACAGCAAAGCCAGGCCCAGACCTGGGCAGCACACTCAGTGCCCAGCCAGCCCCCAAACCTGGCTCACTTCATGCTGTTTCTCCTAAGATTCCTCTTAAATTGTTTCCCACTGTCCTCATAAAAGCCCCGAGGAAGGGGCAGAACAGAGTTATGGATCCCCACTTGAAGATGGGGAAACTGAGGCTCAGTGAGGTCAACATACTTGCCAAGGTCACAGAGCAAGGTGAGCCTGGACTAGGCCTTAAGTCTCCTCCCTCACTGTCGAAAGCTCTTTTCAATGTACTAGCTGCTCAACAACTAAACACTCCCCAAAACACACACACACACACACACACACACACACCCCACTGCCACCATCCCAGGTCACAGAGCCATGCATTCCAAAGGGCCACATCTCCTGTGGGAGCCAGGAATCTACTGCTACCACTCCCATGACCCCCCGAAAAATTGGGCTCCTGCAGGGCCCTGAGGCCTGCTTCATCCATTCTCCCCAACCCCATCAGGGAGGCCTGGCTGGATGTTCCACTGGACCTCCCTGAAGGCCTCCCTTCACTTCCAGCCTCAGTCAACCTATCAGCAGAGTGGAGTCTCGGGGCCACCTCCTCTGTCTTCCCTACCCTCGAGGCCAGGGTGGAACTGACACCCTGGGGAAGGAGACAAGTCCTACTTGCAAGAGACCCCACCCACAAATCTTTTCCACAGGCAGCTGCACTGACATCTGCAAAGACAGATCATCAAAGTCCCCTTGGCCAATCTCAGCCTGGCCCTGTCACTGGGCAGCCTCCTCACTCTCCCCTGCCATACCCCTGACTGAGGCCCCGCCTGCACGCCGAGAGGCCCCTCGTCTCTCCCCCAAGTTCTTCCATCCCATGCCACACTCACAGCCCAGCTGAGCCCCTGCTCCTCCGGTCTCCGGTGGCAGCTCTTTGCTCTACAGTCTGCGCTGCTCAACGCAAATACGGTAACTCTCCCGCAGCGACTCCCGCGCCCCTTCTCCCCGCCCCCATAAAGACGGCAAGCCTCCCGAGACGTTGCTCTTATCAGATAACTGCATTAATCGCAAAAGCTGACCCCCACCCCACCTGACCCTACGCACAACCTTGCCAACTTCGGCGGCCGCAGCAACCCCAAAGAAATATGGTAAACTCTGCGTCGCAACCCCACCCCCACGAAAATACGTAGGCCTCCACCCTGCTGCCGCAACCCACCCTGCCAGGCTGCAAGCCCTAGCTCCCAGAGGGAATGAATGCAGCCCACCCACCACCCGTGGCCGCAGCGCCCCCCGCGGAACCACGCAATCCGGGATAAAATACGTAATTAAGTCGCGGCGCTTGCACTCCCGGAAAGGACCTGCGCGGCTCCAGACAAATACGGTAGCGCGCCCGCAGTGACCCGCCCCCGAGGGTCCGCCTCCGGCCTCGGTAAATACGGTAACCTCCAGCCGCGGCCCCAGCGCGGCCCCGCGTGGACTCACATGGCGCCGCCTCCCCAGCCCTCCGTCTCCGCCGCAGCGCCGCAGTCGCCGGCGTCGTCGCAGCCGCACAGCAGCCCCGTGAGGCTGGGAGGTCTAACTCGCCTGCAGCCCGGCTGGCGGAAAAGGGGGCTGCGAGCGCTGCGCCCGCCCGGGCCGGAGCGGCGACTGCGCGGGGGCCGGTTCCGGGTCCTGAATATCCCACGGGTGGGTCTCCCAAAGCCCCGAGATCCGCCGACCCAGACAGACATTTCTCGTTTCAGGATTTCCCGAGGCCCACATTCGGCCGTTATAGCACCCTCCCTATTTCCCTAATCCCAAGGCCAGGCGCACAAACCGCCCACAGCGACCAGAAAGAGGGTCGGTCGGAGGCGCTGGCCTTCCCCTGGGTGACGTGGGAAGAGCGCAGGAGCCGGCGGCGGAGCGGCGCTGGGCGAGGGTTGCAGGGCTGGAGACAACAGTCAAAGGGGCCCGAATCCGGGAGCTGCCCTCGCTGACAGTTTTCCCAGAGTCCGCCTAACTATGTGGTCTCGGTTTTATCACTAGGGTGACCAGAGGGAAAGGAAGAAGACATCGGGCCCTGATTGTTCCCATCTCCTCAGAACGGAGGCCACAGTCAAGACAAAGATATCCCATAAAAGAGCAGCTTGTACCGTCTGGAGTAGCAGCTGGCATGAGAGGGCAGAGCCAAATTATAGCTTCCAGCTGCCATTTAATGATAATGCCCCCTACTCGGACATGACTTTGCCTTTTACAAAGCCCTTTTCCATGTATGATCTCGTGGGAACCTTCCAATAAGCAGGTGCAGTCTAGCTGGTGCAGGTATTATTAATATCCCATTTTATAGATGGGAAAATGAAATGGAAACAGAGTGGTTTCCTCAACACCCACAGCTCTAAGTAGCAGAGCCCAGATGGGGACACGCGTCGTGACCCAGCTTGCACCACTCTGGGACTGAGACCCTCAGACATAAATAGGGTGTGACAACAAGGAAATAAAAACCTGTGAGAAAGTGCCTGGGGGCGTACATTTGACAGACAAAGAAACGGGGGCCTGAAACGAAAAGTGATTTTAAAAGTCACAACAGGTAGAAGAACATTAAATAGGCTTTTTTCTCTGTGGCCTCTCTGTGGCTACCAGGTGGAGAAATGAGATTCTCTCCCCAAGGCCCAGGCAGGGATCCTTGTAGCAGACAGTGGATGTGGCAGCTGGGGCAGCACTGTCCCTGATGGAGGGCGTTGGGAGACTCAGGCCTCCCGATATCATGAGGGTACCCCCCGCAGCTCTGCAGGTGCCCACTGTGCCTTCTGGAGCCTGGGAACTGAAGAATTCCAGCGGGGAGCCCCTACACTGTAAAATCAGTCCCTTCCTCCCAACACCAGGCCTGGAGGCTGGGCCTGCCTGCTTTCACAGCTCACTCGGAGGACCAGTCCGTTCCAGCAGGCCCCACCCGGCTCACCCATGGCATCTGGGGAAACCACTCCTACCCCAGTCCCCACCCCATCCCTTCACTGCCCCTCGAGACACTCGATGCTGGATGTGGGACTTGAGGATTTCCACATCCCAAGAAAATTGGTATTTTTAAATAGAGACCACAGGAAGGGAATACTGGGAAGACAAAGAAACGAGTCCACAGGACAGACATTGAGTTCCCCTGCATCAAGACCAGCACTCCAGGCACTGATGACCACCCCACTCGTGCCTCCACTCTCCAACCCCTGCCATCACCTGCCAGGGCACCCAGAGTTCACCTCCTCTGCAGACCGTAAGAGAAATGGGGACACTTGGTGAAGACCATGTTTTCAAAAGCAAAATCAATAATATGCCTGAGGATGTCTCCCATATTTTTAGCAGCATTTTCTAGGTAAGATGAACCAAAATAGAAAGGAAAAGAACATAGCTAGGGGGTGGGGGTGCCCACAGACACAGGCAGTACCACCTCAAGCCTGCCCTGCCTCAGCGGGGAAGCCAAGGCCCAGGGGCTCACGGAGGCTATTGTCTGCTCTGCCACAGTGGTTTGGGCTTCACTTCTCTAGTTTTGTGCACATACACCCCTGCCCTGTCTCCCCTAAGGTCCCCCCCTCACCCCATTTTTAGGTGCTGCAGTGAGCACGATAGAATACCAGTGTGGAAACACCTGCAAACACAGCCATGCTTCATGCTTCCTCATACGAGCAGTGCAGTGGCTGGCACAGGAATCACCACTGTCCTGACATGTCCATGTGGCAGCTGGACTCTGGACCCTAACAAAGGCCTGGACTGCCCATTACCCAGGCGTCCTGGAGAACAGCAGACCATGGCTCCCGTGTGGGTAGACGTGTAGCTCAGGTGAACCCTGTCCAGACCCTGCACTGTAGTTACCCTGAACAGGGGGACAAACAGATCACCCCCTGGGCCTCCTTGGGGCAGCTCCAGACCCTGGTCCCCACATCCTCCGGCACCTCCTGTGGGGCTGACCTACAACATCAATTCAAACACCCTTACACTCGCAGCAGGCCTGCTTCACACTGGAGTTGGTGAATGCTTTATGTGGGTTAAGCTAAACAAGGGAAAACCCTTTTTTTCCCCTTTCCATGGTCACAATTGCTCTGCAAGGAGCCACTCAAGTTTGTTAAAACAACAATAGCTACCATTTATTGAGTGCTTGCTGCGTGCCAGGCACTATACCATATGCTTTACATAAGTTACTTATCCAAGGACCTCTGGTTTAAATGACAAAGCCAGAACTGAACCCCAGAACTATCTGGCTCTTGCGGGGATGGAGAGCAGAGGGAAGAAAGTGAAGGGAAAAGAAACAATGTTTCTAGCTTCTTATCAATAGGAGCATCATCCTATCACCCCTAGGGCTGTGCTGTTCAGTAGTCCTGTGAGACTATTTAATTTAATTAAAATTGAATAAAGTTCAGTTCCTCAGCCCCACCAGCCACATTTAAATACTCAATAGCCACATGTGGCTAATGGCTATGGAATGGACAGCACAGATATGGAGTGCTGTCATCATCAGGAAATGTTCTCTGTTGAACAGCCTGCCTAGGACACCTCCTTCAAACCCAAGCAAAGGCTGTTTTCGTTTTAGCCTAAGGGATAACCTAAGGGAATTCATTCATTTCCCTCTCTCAGTGCCCCTGCCATGATCCAGGAAGACCAGAACACACTATTTTTGGCCCCAACACTCCTCCTCCTGCCAAAAGGTCAAAGATGTTTCTTTACCAAATTCAAACCATTTAAAATAATAACAAAAGGTTTCAGGGGCATCCCCTACTCCCGACAGTTTCTCTCTGCCAAGTCCCCGAGGGGCCTGCCCTCTCCCTCGGCCTGTGCTATCTCGGGGCTGAGTGGTGGCTTCTAGTCACTGCAGTCTACCCTCCGTCAGGCAGCTCCCCTGGGGCTGGGCAGTGGGACACCAAACCCTCCCAGCGAGTTTGCTACTTAGAGCTGTGGGTGTTGGAGGAAGCCACTGTTTCCATTTTATTTTCCCATCTATAAAATGGGATATTAATGAAGCTGACAGCCTTACCGGACAACTTGAAGCTCCTGTCCCTTGCCAAAAAACAACCATTTTTCTTAGCTCCAGCCTTGCTCCTAACAAAGAAATACAAGGATGATGCAGGCAGTTCCAGAAGCCCCAAAACCACCAAGCTCACCTGGCTCCCCATGCCAGCCACTGCACCGACCGAACAAAGCAGAATGACTGCGTCTGCGGGATGTTTCCACATCTGTGGCCACGTGGCCACAGATCCCCACTGCAGAGCTGCACTTACCTGGCCTTGGACAGGATTCAAAGGTCAGCACTTACCTGGCCATAGACCCCATATCAATCTTTAAAGTCTTGATATACTCATGGCTGTTTTCTGTTCCCTTTGCATGCTCCAGAGTGTTTTGGATTGTAAACCACTAAGATAACAAATCTGACCGCCTTGTCTTGGACTTAATGACAATGCCTCTTCTGAAACATTCTTTGACCCAGGTTTATCATTTTTAAATGAAAGAAAATGAAAACAGGTTGACAGTGCCACCCCATCCTTGCAGAAGGCTGCCATGTGACAGTAGAAGCAGCTTGGGCTAACAGGAAGCCTGAGATCTGCTGTCAATTTGCAACAGGACCTCGTGGACAAGTCACATTATCCCCACTCCCACCCTCCTTTCCCATGTGTTACGGCCCTGCCTGACTCATGGTGAGATTAAATGAGATAATGAATTAGAAAGCCTTGCTAAGAGAACTGGGGATGGGAACCATTTTTTTAAAGAGTTGAACATACAGGTGGTCCCAAGCCCATCTATATGTGCATCAAAATGATTTTCCATGGAAGTGCTTGAGCTCCTCAAAAGTAAGGGTTGTCTTGGGCAGGATCCCAGCATGATGCCTGACCCACAGCAGGCTTGTAGTGAATCAGCCAGGTAGTCCCGACCTGGTCAGTGGGTCATACATTCTCTGCTCTGAGGGATTTGACCGTGTTCCCTTGGTGACCCAAAGCAACCATTTGTGGGAGTCTCAGTTACCTGGGGTCAGTGAGCAGACATTCTCATGAATTGATGCTGGAGAAAAAAGCTGCAATTAGGCCTCATTTTTTAACCCCAAGTCCTACCAGCACAGCTGTTTGACTGATTTGATCATCAAACAGGCCACTTACGGAAAATAACACGTTCTGTTGTAAAGATGCTCCTGCAGGACTGATCTCGTCAGCATCTGCCAGCCCTGCACCCTCAGGCACCTGAATCACAGGACCCAGTGTTTCCACAGATCTGTCCTTGCAGGCAGTATCCCTCTAACCCAGGAATGAAAGATGGGACTCAGTGAGGCCTAAAGTGGATGGGCTTGCTCAACTTGATTTCAGAATGTGGCAAAGGCACTCGGCACTCCCTGGGGCAGTGCAAGATGGAACAGCAGTTCCAGGAGAGTGGCAGGAGTCAGGGGAGCACCTAGAGCTGGTGTCCGGTGGAGAGTGCCCAGGAAACCAAAGCCTGGTTTGGTTTCCTGTGGTCCTAAGCACTGAATGCTCAAGTAGGTGGTAGCAACCCAGAAGCCAGGCTGAACTGTGGCAGCTCCCAGGTTAACACTTCTCTGCATACAGAGAAGGATCTGGGCCTGGGAGAAGTGGGTAAGTGCACGTCTTCCTTTTCCAGAGCCACGTTGGGGTCCTTTCTTCCTCCTACCTCCCAGCTACCCAACCCTGGCACCCCAACACCCATCCCTCCACCCTCTCCAGTTCCCTCCTCTCCTATTGAGGTCACAGCCTAGCCTAGAGCCGTGGGTTCTTCTTCAGCACCAGGGACGCAGCCAACCCTGCTTTGGAAGGGCATGACGGGTGCCCTCTTGGGGGCAGGAGGCTGAGGAGCATATGTGGGAAGAGACAGTAAATTGACTTGAAGGAGAGGGAAAGAGAGAAAACACCCCCAGCAAGAACTGAGCATGGGGAGTGTGTGCTCCTAGCCTGGGGCAAATGGATCTCTGAGCACACACAGACCCAGGCTTCAGCGAAGGTGGTTCGGAAAGGACAGTGAGACCACATGGAATATTCCATCCATGTTCTCTTCTGCAACGCCAGACTGACAAGGATCCAAGCCAGTCAAGTCAGCCAGCCCATTTCAGACATGCCCCAGACAGGAGTAGGAGCAGCGTGCTTGGCTCTCTCCTACACAGCTACCTCCTCAGGCAGCCAAGCCTCAGTGGAGCCCACCCTGCTCGTGCCCATCTGACCATCACAAACACACCAGTGAGAAGGACATCAAACCACTCACTCCTTCCAAAAATATTTATTGGATGACTACGACGTGCCAGCACTGGCTCTGGTGCTGGGAATACGCTTGGCTCTCCCTTGCCGCGGCCTCTGGCTTCCATCCTTGGTATCACGGAGTCTGTGGCGATTCTCCCACAGGGGCAACCCCCGGCCATCCTGCAGCCTGGGTGGGGCGGTGCCACAGGTGACCAGTCCAGACCCGGGCCACTTCACACCAGGAGCCTCTCCCAGTGTCCCCAACAGACCCCTCACTCGGTGCTTGAAGCCTTAAGTCCAACCTCTGAAGAGGGTGGTCACATCCAGGCCTGCGGTGGGAAACTCCATCTTCCCTCCTCCTTAAACCCACGCTGGGACCTTTCCCGGCACCCTCTGGGATGCTTCTGGAACTGTTATCAGGCCTTGAGAGCTTTGAGGAATTCACCAGTCCCTCTGTGGCATCCCCCGCTGCCACCGCCACCACAGGTCCACGGGGGTTCCGCCCACTAGCGCGCCTCTTCCTTGGCGCCGGGCGCAGGGGCCGCGCGGTGCACGCGCTGGTGCTTGACCAGGTGCTGCTTCTGGCTGAAGCCGCGGCCGCAGGCGGGACACAGATAGGGCCGCTCGCCTGTGTGGTTACGCCGGTGCCGCGTCAGGTTGGGCTTCTGGCTGAAGCGGCGGCCGCACTCGGGGCACGGGTAGGGCCGCTCACCTGTGTGGATGCGCTGGTGGATGGTGAGCGCCGACCACCACGAGAAGCTCTTGCCGCACTCGTTGCAGATGAACTGGCGCGGCTCGCCAGGCCTGGCCAGGCCTGCGCGTCCCCGGCCCCACAGTGCGTCCCGGGCCCCCGGGGGCCGTTGGGGGCTCCGCGGCCGCGCGGCCAAGCCCGGAATGACCTTGGCTTGCGGCTGGTCGCCAGGTTTCTCGGCTGGGACGGTGGGCTGGGCGGCGGCATGGGCGCGCTGGTGGGCGCGCAGCGCGGCGCGGCTGCGGCAGCTCTTACCGCAGCTGGGGCAGGGCGCTGCCTGGGCGCCTGGCAGGTGCGTGCGCAGGTGCTTGAGCAGGTGCTGCTTCTGGCGGAAGCCACGGCCGCAGTGCGGGCAGGGGTGCGGACGCTCGCCCGTGTGGTTGCGCAGGTGCCGCGTCAGGTTGGGCTTCTGGCTGAAGCAGCGGCCGCACTCTGGGCACGCGTAAGGTCGCTCCCCCGTGTGGATGCGCTGGTGGATGTTCAGCGACGACCACCAGGTGAAGCTCTTGCCACACTCGTTGCAGATGAACTGGCGCTGCTCGCCCGGCCCCGAGGGGCGGGAGACGGCGGTCCGGGCCCCGGGCTGGCCCCACCAGCCCTGGCAGAGTCCTAGCCAGGCCCACTCGGGGCGCCCCCGCGGCGGCCCAGGCCGCAGGCGACAGGCCCGGCGCGACGCCGCATCCCGGAGCAGCTCGTGCAGGCCGGCGCGGGCACCCTGGCGGTCCCGGGCGTGCGCGCGCTGGTGGATGCGGAGGCCCACCTGGTGGCGGAAGCAGCGCTCGCACTCGGGGCACGAGTGGGTGGCCGGCCGGGAGTGGGTCTTCTGGTGCTTGAGCAGGTGCTGCTTCTGGCTGAAGCGCCGCGCGCACTCGGGGCAGCAGAAGGGCCGCTCGCCCGTGTGGTGCCGCTGGTGGCGCGCCAGGTTTGGCTTCTGGCTGAAGCTCTTGCCGCACTTGCCGCAGAGGTACGGCTTCTCCCCGGTGTGGGTGCGCTGGTGGATCTTCAGGGACGACCACCAGCTGAACCTCTTCCCGCAGTCTAGGCACACGAAATGACCCTCGCTGGCAGAAAGCGCCGGGCTCAGGGGGCCAGAGGCTGCCCCGGGAGCCCGGCCTGCCAGCCCCACATCCTGCTCAGCGGGAGGGGCCCACCTGGGACTCCCAGACTCCTCCTGTGCCCCTAGGGCTCGAGACCAACCCAAGGCCTGGCGTGGAGGGAGGCCCGGGTGCTGCTGGAAGATGTTCTCCTTGTCCTTCTCCGCAAGCATGGCCTGCGGCACCAGCGTCTGCAGCAGCCGCTCCGGCTTCTCCTGCTTGACCTTCATCACCAGCCCGGCTCCTGCCAGAGGCAAGCGGGAGAGAGGTCACCACTGCTCCGCGCGCTTGTCGTATGGAGAGAAGGAGTCAGAGAGAGGGAAGTGGTGTAGGAGGGCAGAAAAGGGATGAAAAGCGGGCACGACAAAAGGTAGAAGGATTTAAATAAACAGAAGAAAACGGGGTCAAAAGAAGAAAAAAGGGTAGGGCAGGCAGAAAGGACAAGGGCAGCTTAAGATATGGAAAGAGAAGTGAAGGAGAAAAACACAAGAAAGAAACCATAAGTGAATCATGTGGCTGCCGAGGCCACAGGATCCCCAAGGCACAGGCTGCCCTGCCTTCTCCACCCTGAGGCCCAGGAAATGCAGCGAAGGTTAAAGAAACCAATCCAGTGAAATTCTCTGGCCCAGTGGACAGGGAGAAAGTAGCCAAGCTGCAAAATACACCATTCTTTTTCTAAGAGGATCGACGTGCTGGGAGCTTTCTAAGTAAAGGCATGCCCAGTCCCTCAGTGGTCAGAGAGACCAAACCCTGGGTCACTGCAGCACCGTCCATACTGGCGGGTCCCCTGCTCCAAGGCAGAAGCCATCGTGGCAGAACACTTCGCCTGCTGGGATCTTGGCTGTTTGGCAACTCAGCTTCCTTCAACAAAACCAAGGACGAGAAAGTAGGCCAGAAAGGCCACAGCACCCAAAAGAGGTGTTGCCTCGCCTAACCCACTTTACTCATGAGCGTCCCACACCTACTGCTCCCAGCCCACACCTTGTGCCATACACAAGTCTACAGAGGCACTTTGTTCTCCCAGCTCACAGAATAGAAGCCATAATAGAAACCATCTGCCACAGACACTGAAGAATGCATACTGTGTGATTCCATTTATGTGAAGAGGAGAAGCTGGCAAAACCCATGAGTTAGAAGTCAGGATACTGGCCCTATTACAGAGGGCACTGTGGGTGGAAGGCAGCATGCGGTCCGAGGTTCTGGTCATGTTTTCCATTGATGTGGGTGCTGGTTACAGGGGAATGTTTGCTTTATAAGAATTTATAGAGCCTGTGATCTATGCACCTTTCCAAAAACGTTTACATGTAATAAAAAGTAGGTGGAATAAAACAGCTGTGAACAAAGAAAAGAGAAAAATCTTTAAACAGATGTCAACATTACAAAGACAACAAAATAAACCCAAAGGAAGAAGAAGAAGAAGGGTACTAATAAAGATAAAAACAGATTATAGATAAGGGACGTGTAGCTGCAAAAATGACTCTGAAAATCCCCAAATACTGTATATGGACTTCATATACATAAATTGAAAATCCATATAAAATAGAAAATTTTACATAAAAATGTAAATTAAAACTGACCCAAGAACAGGTAGAAAATCTGACTACATAAACAACTAAAAGAAATGAAAAGAACATCTCAGAAATGAGTGACAGGCCATATAACTGTACAAACAGGTGCCACTAAAACCTCAAGGGAAGGACTATTTCCACCTTATATAAACCATTGCAGTGAATAGGAGCAAAGGGAAAGAGCAGTCTACAAGGTTAGCATAACTCCAGTATCAAAACAAGAATGGAGGTGGGCAAAAGGTGTATTGTTCTTTGAACACAGACACAAACACAAAGCAAGTTCAGTGGTATTAAAACAATAACACACCCTAACCTTGCTGAGATTTTCCCCAGGAAAGCAAAGATGGCCCAATACAATTTATAACATTACCTCATTAAAAGTGAAAAAACTCACAATAGATGTGAAAAAGTCCTATGATAAAATTCAACATTATTTCTGGAGGGAGGGATCAAAGGAATGAGAAGGGAGGGAAGGAGGAAGAAGGAAGGGAGGGAGGGAGAGAGAGAAGAAATCTCCTAGCAAACTAAGAATAGAGAAAGGAAGTGCGCAAAGAATGTACTGGAGAAATTACAGCAAACATTGTAACCAAAGCAAAAGATTAGAAGCCCATTACAATTAGCAACAAAATGCGATGCCCACAATCCCTAAAACCAGTCAGCTATCCTGCCGAACTAGCCAAGACATAGGGGAAAACAAAGAAAAACGCATGAACATTGGAAAGGAGAGGAAGCTGCCATTTGCTTATGATTATTAACCACCTGGAATGTGCAAGGGAATCCACTGATAAATATAAATAAGAACTCAGCAACATTGCCCAGTACAAAAACATACAAAAATAATATTTTAAAAGACGGCAATACAAGTAACTAGGAACATACCTAATGAACATGCAAAACTTACATAAAGAAAACTATTAAACCTTACTAAAGAGATAAAACTAAATAAAAGGACCAATGTACCATATTCTTAGATGAGGAGCCAAAGATGTTCTTCACTCTGAAATAACATTGAAATTCAGTGTCATCCTATTTAAGTAAATTTTAAAATGTATCATGTATACAAATTACCCAGAAAAATCCTAAAAATGAACAAAGAAGAATTTGGCTTATATGACATTAAAAGCAAAAATGCTACCACCATACACAAACGAATGGCTAGAATCGGCTGGGAGTGGTGGCTCACGCCTGTAATCCCAGCACTTTGGGAGGCCAAGGCAGGTGGATCAACTGAGGTTAGGAGTACGAAACCAGCAGGGCCAACAGGGTGAAACCCCGTCTCTACTAAAAATACAAAAAAATCTGCCAGGCATGGTGGCAGGCACCTGTAATCCCAGCTACTAGGAGGCTGAGGCAGGAGAATCGCTTAAACTCAGGAGGGGTAGATTTCAGCAAGCCAAGATCACAGCATTGCACTCTAGACTGGGCAACAAGAGCAAAACTCTGTCTCAAAAAAAAAAAAAAAGAAAGAAAGAAAAAAAGAGCGAGTGGCTAGAATCCAGATGGCTGGCATGAGCACACAGTGAGGCGGAGCAGCAACGGGGGCTCTTTCCTTGCTGGTGGAAATGCGAAGTGGTGCCACCACTCTGGAAGGCGGTTCAGCAGTTTCTTACAAAGCTAAATATAGGCTTGCCATCCAATCCAGCAGTCACTCGACTAGGTATTTACCCAAAAGAGTTGAAAACCTTTGTCACACAAAAAAACACACATGGAATTTTATAGCTTTATTCCCAACTGCCAGAATTTGGCAGCAAACAAGACGTTCTTCAGTGGGTGAATGGATAACTCTGCATGATGGAATATTAAGTCAGCCATAAAAAGAAATAAGCTATGAAGTCACAAAAAGCCATGGAGGTACCTTACATGCAAACTTCTGGGTGAAAGATACCTACATAAAAGGCTACACACTGTATGACTCCAACTATATGACATTCTGAAAAGGGCAAAACTACAGAGATAACTGAAGGTAGCTGCCAGGAGTTGGGGGGTAGGGGGAGATAAAGAGGTGGAGCACAGGGATTTGGGGGGCAGTGAAATATTCTGTATGATACAGTAATAGTGATACTGGACATTATGCCTTTGTCAAAACCCAGATAAGGTACAAGACCAAGAGAGAACCCTAATGTCAATTATAGACTTTAGGTAATAAAAATGTATCTATATTGGTTCATCAATTATAACAAACGTACCACATGAATGCAAAATGTTAATAATAAAAGAAACTGGAGCTGAGGTATAGGGGACCTCTGCTTTCGTCACAATTTTTCTGTAAACCTACAACTGCTGTAAAATATAAAGTCTAGGTCAGGCACAGTGGCTCATGCCCGTAATCCCAGCACTTTGGGAGGCTAAGGTAGGAGGACTGTTTGCCCACGAGTTGAAGACCAGCCTAAGCAACAGAGCAACACCCTGTCTGTATAAAAAAATATTTTTAATTAGCTGGGTGTGGTGGTGCACACCTGCAGTCCCAGCTACTCTGGAGGTTGAGGTGAGAGGACTGCTTAAGCCCACTACATTCCAGCCTAGGTTAGAGAGTGTGACTGTGTCGAGAGAGAGAGAAAGAAAGAGAGAAAGAGAGAGAGAGAGAGATTCATTTGGGGGAAAAAAGAAAATAAAATCCAACTCTTGACTGACACAGTTGTTTTTGTTATTGGCATGGCTTTCCATGGTGGGCCTGGTGATATAAGCCTGCAAGTCAGATTCCCTTTCACAAAATAGATAAATACATAAATAAAAGTAAAAAAGCTAAATACAATTATTACAATTATGTACAGTACACATAATGGATAGGCCAATGGAACAGAATCATTTAAAACATGATACAAGAGACATTTCAAGTCAATGGAAAAAGGCTATTCATCAACTTAGAACCAACTCTCTCTTTGGGGAAAATATTTAAGTTAGATTCCTAGTGCAAACTGTTTATAAAAATCAGTTCCAGATGGACTTAAGCACCAGCTTTAAAAATGAAAATGGAAGTATTAGAAGAATTAAGAGAATCTGCTTAGAATCCAGAGGTAATTAAAAGCCCTCTTAAATAAGAAACAAAAGATAAAAACTAAATCTAAAACATCTGTATGACAAAAGATACTATAAACACAAGTCCAATAGAAATGGGAATTTAGGCCAGGTGCAGTGGCTCACACCAGTAATCCCAGCACTTTGGGAGGCCAAAACGAGAGGATCACCTGAGGTCAGGAGTTCAAGACCAGCCTGGCCAACATGGTGAAACCCTGTCTCTACTAAAAATACAAAAAAATTAGCCAGGCGTGGTGGCACATGCCTGCAATCCCAGCTACTCAGAGGCTGAGGTAGGAGAATCACTTCAACCAGGGAGTCAGAGGTTACAGTGAGCCAACATCATACCACTAATATCCAGCCTGGGCAACAAAAGCAAAAACAAGAAAAGTGGGGAGGGGAGGGGAGAAGGGAGGGGAGAAGGGAGGGGAGGGGAGGGGAGATTTAGAGGGAATTTAGAGCAGCATTTTCCCACAGAACTTTCTGCAATAGTGGAAACAGTTTACATCTGAGCTCTCGAGCCGCATATGGTTACTGAACACTTGAAATATGACTAGTACAATTAAGAAATGACATTTTTAATTGTGTTTAAGAAATTAATTTTTATTTATTTATTTTTGAGACAGAGTCTCTCTCAGTCACCCAGGCTGGAGTACACTGGCACAATCTCAGCTCACTGTAGCCTCTGCCTCCGGGGTTCAAGTAATTCTCCTGCCTCAGCCTCACGAGTAGCTAGAATTATAGGCACCTGCCACCACATCCAGCTAATTTTATATTTTTAGTAGAGATGGGGTTTCACCATGTTGGCCAGGCTAGTCTCAAACTCCTGACCTCAGGTGATCCTCCCACCTCAGCCTCCCAAAGCGCTGGGATTACAAGCATGAGCCACCTCGCCTGGCCATACTTTAACTTAAACCTAAACTTAAAGTAGAAGAGTCCTATGTGGCTAGACCACATGCTGGACAGTGCAGGTCTAGGAAAAAATATGTGCAGATATAGAATAGGCCAACGCTTAGTAACCAGACTATAAAACAGACTCCTATACATATGATAAAAAGAGGTTCAACCCCACTAGTCCTCAACAAAATGCAAACCAAAAGTGTAGCATCTTAAAACCCCTCATACGAGCAAAAATTTTAAAAATCAGTAATATCTCTACAATATGTGTGGATACTACACAGGAGAACAGGTATACACATGGGTATTCTGAGAGCATAAACTGAGGCAGAATTTTTGTAGAACAATCTCACAGTGTTTATTAAAGCTAGAAGTGTAGACAGCCTCTGGCCCTTTCCAGCCAGCAATTCCATTCCACATGTTCACCTAAGAAATATTGACATAGGAGTATAAAGAGAAATGGTCCAAGAATGTTCGCTGAAGTGCTCTTTGTAATCAGGACACAATGGAAAATAATTTAATTATCCCAAAATAGTTTAAGAAAAGGATCACTCCCTTCATAATATGGAATACTATGCATCAAATAAAAAGAATGGAAAAGAACTATGTATGCCAATATGAAAAGATTCTCAACACATTTTAAGAGAAAACAAAAATAAACTGAAAAACTGTGTGAATCATCTGATTAAATTCATTAAAAATTTTATGTCTCTCTATATATAGACATGCATGATGCAGGATGAGTCACACCAATGGTTGTGCCATGTCCATCAGGTGGCTGATGGCTGTTCTCCCTCAGCCCTCCCAGCCAGAAAGATGACTATAGGCCAGAAAGCCCCAGGATGCCTGGACAGTGTTGTCACATCCACCTGCCAAAAGGCACCTGGTGGACATACATGACTGGGTTGGGCAGGGTGCGGAGCCCAGCGCTGGTGTCCCTGGAGGCCCAGGAGTTGAGGTGGAGTGTGCCGGAGCTCCAGCAGCCCCAGGCACACTCCCATTTTTTGAGCTCCCGTAGCCTCTGTCATTGTTCCATTCTTTGACATGGCTGTCCCAGCCCTGATCCCCCTCCCTGAAATTCTGCATCAATGGGATGTACTAGTTACTGGCTAAAGACACTGGCTCACGCCTGGCTTCAGAAAAGATAAAGGCATGCAGCCCGAGCAGAGGAGACCCTGGCTCCATATGAGAAGCGCAGGCCACTGGCCGCCCGTGGAGAGTCCTGAAATAACGGCTCCGCTCCTCAGTCATCATGAAAAGGATCGTGTTTTAGGTTTTAATCGTTCAGATAAAATTAAAAGGTGCAAAGTACAGATTATTGCTTAATGAGTGCAGTTTCCCAGGTGATGAAAATGTTCTGGAAATAGATGGCGGTGATGGCTACACAACACTGTGAATGTACTGAGGCCACTGAAGCATACGCTTAAAAATGGTTACAATGGTAAATGTTCTGTTATGTATATTTTGCCACAATAAAAAAACACAAATAAAAATTAAAAGTTGCTTAAAAGAGGTAAGCTGTCAATTGCCTGAAAAATGGGGACCTCCAGATGAGTGGTTCCCTTAGTCTAGCCAGAGGCCAGTCCCACGTGCCTCCATGTCTCCAGGAATCTCGGCTAGAGAGTTTTTCACACTCTTCCCTAAAACCACAGGGTTCCCCAGAAGCTGCCATAGGGAGGAGAGAGGGCCCCAGCAGACCCCACAGCTGACATCAACCAGAGCTACCTCACAGTAACTCAGGATCCTAGGTATGAGTCTATCTGGGGAAAGGGCCTCTGTAACATGCTGTGCGCGTGCGCTCTAGGTTCCACTGGAATTTCCAAAACACACACGCAGCTAGAGTGCTTCTGTCACCCCCCTGGCTCCTTGGACGGGGGTGCAGCTACACGACTAGGCTCCCTGAGGGTGTGCGTCCACACACCACACGCCGTGCTTTGCACTGGCCACGTTTCTCTTTCACCCCGCTGCCTGGTTTTTGTCTCAGTCTTGGATCTGCTGATAGGATTTTCCTGGGAGGCGAGGCGGCTCTTCCCCAACGGCAATGAGGCAGGGGCCATGGGGTCTATGGGGCAACTCCCCTGGGAAGGGAGAGGGTGGTAAAGAAACCCGAGTCACACTGTGCTGAAGGTCGGACTCCCAAGGGTGCAGGGCATGTTCTGGACCCAACTCTACCGAGGGGCCTAGATTCCTTTTGCAGCCAGGCCATGGGCCACATGCCACTTACGCCAGGTGCGCCAGGAAGGGCTGCAAGTGCTGCTTCCGGACACCAGGGGCCGCTCCACCCCAGGCTCAGGGATGCTGGGCAGGGGCTCCAGCCAAGAGCACATGATCATGCCGGGAAACTGTCCACTGGCAGCCAGTATTTCATCACAACCAGCTCTAAGCGGCTTAGCCAATAAGGACCCTGAACTTTGAGTGACCCCAGAAAGCGTTACTGGACTGAACTGAAGACAGTGTCCTGACGGATGAGCCACGGGGTTTGTTCCAACCAACTGTTCTACCTAGAGTGCCAGTTTTCCATGTCTAATTAATATGACCCCACAAACTCCCTATTCCAGCACATAAATAACCCTGTTTCCTCAAGGCATGGGTGCCCATGTGTCCCCTTGCCGAACAAGTTAAGGGACCAGGCTTTGCCATTTTTGAGCTCCCATAGCCTCTGTCCCTGTTCCATTCTTTGACATGGCTGTTCAAGCCCTGGTCCCCATCCTGAAATTCTGCATCGGTGGGATGTACTAGCTACCGCTGAAGGCACTGGCTCGCACCTGGCTTCCGAAAAGGTAAAGGCACGCGGCCTGGGCGGAGGCAACCCCTGCTGCCCTGCCTTCTCCCTTCTCCCTTACCTGTGCCGTCGCCAGCCAGGCCACTCTCCATCCCTGGAGGCCTCCGAGCATCAGCGCCGGCTGTGTCCCTTCCCTGCCATCTGCCAGAAAGAAAAGCAGAAGAAAGAGAATGTGCCTGTCGGACAAGGACAAAACTCAGGGTCCCCAGCCCCCCTCCCATCCCAGAGAACACGCTCTTGTCCAAAGAACTTTGCTATCCGTGGCCACATTGGAAATGGGCAGGGGCTCTTTATGTGCGCATACCTGCTGAGAGCCATAATTCCCATTTTACCAAACAGGAAACTGAAGGCACAGAGGGCCCCTGATGTGCCCCGAGTCATGGAGGTGATGAATAGCAGAGTTGGACAAAAACCCAGGGCTAACTCCCACACCAAAGCCTCACACCCCACACCCTCAACATCCGCAGGGCAGCGAGTGACCGATGCCACACCTGAGAAGCAGGAGCCTCGAGTAAGGTTAGAGACACGTCTGTGACACCACGGTCAGGAATGCACCTGGAGGGCAGAACGGCCCTGCACGTTTCCTCAGTCACCGCGCCCGCTTTCAAAGCCCCCATCCATGTTCTAGCACAAACCGTTCCAGAGAGCTTGGGGGCCGGCGTCTCCATACAAGAGCCCATGCCCAGTTCAATGAAGTGGGAATTATCTTTTTTTTGTTTTTATGCCCAAGTCTTCTGAGTTTTTCCTGACATGCCTGGAATATGAGCGGGATTGATCACACTGCTATGTGGATGCCCCAGGCCTTTGCCCTGACTGTCCCCTTGTCCCAGATCCCCGTCTGGCTTACTGGCTCACCCCCTGGCTTCTGTCGGCTCCCGGCTTAAATGTTCCCGTCTCAGAGTGGGAATCCCTGGCACCTTCTTCTTCTTCTTTTTTGAGACGGAGTCTTGCTCTGTCGCCAGGCTGGAGTGCAGTGGTGCAATCTTGGCTCACTGCAACCTCCACCTCCTAGGTTCAAGTGATTCTCCTACCTCAGCTTCCCACGTAGCTGGGACTACAGGCATGCACCACCACACCTAGCTAATTTTTGTATTTTTAGTAGAGACGGGTTTCACCGTATTGGCCACGCTGATCTCAAACTCCTGACCTTGTAATCCACCCACCTCAGCCTCCCAAAGTGCTGGGATTACAGGCATGAGCCACTGCACCTGGCCCCTGGCTTACCAGCGTAACCACCTCCCATTTCCTCTGGAACATTTTTGCCACCTGACATGACTTGTCTGTTCCCCTACCACTGGCAAGGCCAGGAGCTCTTCATGCTTGCTGCTGGATCCCCAGGGCCCAGAGCAGAGCCGGGCACACAGAGGGCCAGTAACAAACATGGGTGGCAGGAGTATGCTGCCCCGACTGGTCAGGAGCTTGCAGCCTGAAGACTCAGCTCATCCTCACTGGGGGTGCCCATCTCCTAAGGACAAGGATGTGGTCCCACAGCGCCTGTACCCGCTAGCAGAGGAAAAACGTGGCTGCCCACGTAGGTACATGGCTCACGCTTCCTGCTGCCTCAAGGGAGGGGCTCTTCCAGGTTTTAGTCAGCCCATCCTCCCAGGTACCATGGCTCGGCCACCCTCACAGAAACACCCACCCCAGGCACTGAGAGCCTCACAGAGACCCAGCCTCCCTCTCCCACATCTCCTTCAGAGCCCAGACACTGGGGGCACACAAGCAGACTGGGAATCTGGACCCTGACAAGAGAGGTAGGGAAGGAGTGAATATGAAGTCTAGAAAACACAAAAAGTCATTATTCCTGGTGCAAAGAGGGGAAGAGAAGAAACACCACCTTTTTTCCAGAGCATTTTGTTTAGAAACTTCTAATTAGTAAGCTCTATCTCTGTCTTTTTGAGATGTATGTAAATCTTCTTTTTTTATTTTTATAGTAAATGTTCCTCAAGTAGAAATAAATGTTTTCAAAAGCTAAATAAGGCCAGGCAAGGTGGGTAATCCCAGCACTTCAGGAGGCTAAGTGGGTAGATCACCTGACATCAGGAATTCGAGACCAGCCTGGCCAACATGGGGAAACCCTGTCTCTACTAAAAATATAAAAAGTAGCCAGGCGTGGTGGCACACACCTGTAATTACAGCTACTCGGGAGGCTGAGGCAGGATAATCACTGGAACCTGGGAGGTGGAGGTTGCAGTCAGCCAAGACTTGGGACAGAGTGAGACTCTGTCTCCAAAAAAAAGCAGCAAAATAAGCCTCTGCCAGCGTTACAACTCAGGACTGTCCCACGGTCCTAGGGGCCATTTCTTTGAAATTTAAACATTAAGGAAGATACCGCCCCTACTTCCCAGTCTCCACAGGAGGGTAGGGGCCTAACTTCAGCAGGCACCTGGCTCCAAATCACAAACCTATCTCCTGTCATAAAAATACAAGAAGTTTATTTTTCCTGTGGGTAAAGGCAATTAGCTAACACAGACGGTCACGCCAATTACCAGGTGAATTTAGGACGACCTGCGTGTGATAAACGGTGCTTTCCAGTCCTCTTGCTGGAGGCTGGTTGCTGTTCATCCTGAGAGCGTGTCTGAGTGAGCCACACCTGCCTGGCTCTAGCAGGCAGAGACGCTGGTCTTTGATCTCTCAGGGGATTGTCTGTGATACGCATCACATTCCAGTTTCACACACATTCAATTTTTTAAAAGCTTTTTTTCTCTTCTACTTTTGCAAAGAGCTTTTCTGGGTTGGCAAGAGATTTTGTTTTCAATTCTATTTCCCCAACAGGGGTCTGTAGGCACGCCTACTATGGTTTCTTACAGACACTCTAACCTGGTTGTGGTGCAGAGAAAATGTGAGCAATGGAGAAGGAGGTGCAGGGGGGCCTGGTGGAGCTCTGACAGGTGCTGGGGGGTTCTCCCTCCACGCCACCCTCCTCCTTCTGGGCCACTCTGTGAGCTTCTGCATGTCACGCCTTGGGAAACCTCTCACCAACTGGACTTAACGTCTACCTAAAAAGGCACAGAGGGGCTGGCGGACAGAGAAGCCACCTTGATGAAAGGATAGACTGAGGGTGGCAGAGCCCAGGCCAGAAATCCAGGACAGAGGGATGGGCCTTGGTTTACACAACGTGGGACCCCCAAGCCAAATCAAAGACAGTCCTACTGCACCCACCCTGCCTCCCAAGAGGTATTAGGACCTAACAGCTAACCCACAGTAGCAGGGCTTCCACTGTCCAGCTCTTCCCTCGAGCCTCGGGGCCTGCCTCGGGCCACACCAGGGCTCGAGGGGAAGCAGCCTGTGATTTATGTAAGAACAGAAGCAGAGACGGAAGGAAGAGGACCCCTGAGGGCCCAAGAGGAAGGAGTAGTGAAATTCAAGGGGGAGACACAGAGGACAGCAGTAAGGGGGAGCCAAGTCTTTGGGGACTTGCCTCTACTGGTGTGTTCAGGCGGGCTATGTCTGGGAAACGGCACAGGTTTCCTACAGACAAAATCCAGGAAAGCCCTTCATGTGACACATTCCAGCCTGGCCCACCCTAAGCTTCTCTCCTATTCTGCCTCTCACTCTGCTCTGCCCATGGCGGTCCCCTCCTAACCCACCATCGTAACATATCCTCGGCCACCTGGTGACACCCAGGAGCCAGGTGAGCAGGCTGCCCAGCAAAGCGCCCTGGCCAGAAGACACGCGTCAAGGGGCAGATGTGCCATCTGCCACCAGTGCCCACATTGAGTCTTGGAAGGCCACTTCATCCATCCTACAAGTAGACCCCCGACCCCTCCTGGACCACCTTTCCTCTCCACGGTCCCTTGGGCTCTGAGGGGAGCAGGACACACAGAGGTCCCCTTTCCACGCCTGGATCTGGCCCGGCCCTCCCTGCATGGGGTCAGGCTGCAGTTCAGTAAGAGCCCCCCTGGGCAGGCCTCAGCCTGTGCCCAGCTGCCATGACAACTGCGGACCAACCACACAAAGAGGGGATTGAGCTAGCAGCAGGTGGAGAGGCCAGGGCAGGGGAAGGCCACAAAGGAGCTTTGCTTGTGGCAGAAACTTGGGGGTGGGGAGGCCAGGCAGCAGCCGGGGTAGGAGGAAGGCCACAAGCCAGAAAGAGGCATCTCGGGGACCTGTCCTGCTCTCCACGTCAGGAGAGGCCTCCCCATCTCCGCCCTGGAACCTCCCACCAGCCCAGCACAGCTCTCACAGACCCAGCGCCCCAGGTCAGGCAGTCAGCAGCAGACCATGCCGGAGATATCACCCGCTGCCAGTGGAGAGGAAGCAGGATCCGCCACTAGGCGCTAAGGCTTTTTGGGGGCAGCTCCCCAAACCCCAGCCAAAGGCCCAGCATCAGGCCCTCTCAGCCCTGAGTTCCCAGCAGGTCCTCACTTGCTGGGCACTGCTCAGCTGCTCTTCTGTAGGAGAACCTCACAGAAACTGGGCTCCCCAGGCCTGGCCCATGCCCAGCCAATGCCTCCCTGCCCATGCTGCCCCTCTCTGCAGCCTCATCCTTCCCAACTCCACCTGGTCCCCAGAGCCATCCGGCCCTCTCCCCTGGCCCACACCTGACTGCTATGTCCTCAACTAGTTCTGTCTCCCTGTGAGACCCCTCATTCAGGTTAGCCCCAGGGAGCGGGGACTTGCTCCCATGCCTGTCCGCCCCTCACAGGCAGAAGGTAAGTAGTGAGCATTGAATGAATGAGTGAATGAAACAATGGAGGACTCAAGAGGTGGCTCCTCAGGCTCCAGTCTTCTGTCATTAACAACAAATCCCTCAGGACTAGCCAATGGTATTCTCTGCCTCTGATTTCAGTTAATAGCAGTAGATGTTTTTAAATTAAATATATGATCATAGGGACATGAGAAAGTGATGTAAACGCTAAGCCACACACAAACACACCCAGACACAATCATATCAAAATACTGCCAAGTAAACAAAAGTTCAAAGACACAAAATTACATGAGAACACCTGCAAACCTGTCTATGCAAATACAAATAATGTGAGATAGTTTTTTAAACTCACAGACACACCTACAGATCCACAGACACACAAATGTGCCACTGTGAACCAGGTCAGCACAAATCACTGCACAGCACACTTAGGAACACAGAAACACAAAGCCACCCATGACACAAGTATCCTTGCACACCAATGGCCATCCCATCGGGCCCACTTGCTCCAAGGGAAAGAACTCAGAGAGGTAAAAACAGAAGCAACATACGCTCATCGAGCCAGGAAGCTGGGGGCCATGAGTCACTGTTGGATGACCTGCACTGGGGTGGCATAGGTCAGCAGGAGCTGCAGCTGGCTGAAGAGAAGGTAGACCAAGACAGAAAGCCCTAGAAAGAAAATGAGCCTGTGTCCAGCAAGCCTGGTGCAGCCTGAGATCCTCCAGGGCCTGGCCTGTGTGCTCTGGCCCAAGGGGATGCAGCGGGCCTCCCCTCTTCAGCCAGCGTTGGGTGACCCTGGGCCGACACCTGGCTGGCTCCTTGCCCTAGTCTCCCCCTAGAAGCCTACTGCGTGAGGCTGGCACGGATGTCCTTCTCAAGGCCACCCTTCCTGGTCCCTCCCCTCAGGACCCTGTGTCTTAATCAGGAGCCCCAAATCCCAGCCCACCTGTCACTCACCTGCTGCTACCCACTGGCTAGTCTCTGCAGCGCTTTGGGCTCAGGTTCCTGATGGCCCAGGTGAACAGCTACCTGCTCCCAGGGTTTGGGAACACCGCCAGCGGCACGCCTAAGCCCGACGTGCCAGGCATTGTCTGTATAAGCCTCTGCCAGTGGCCCTGCTGCTGCTCACTCTTTCTAAGCCATCAGTCCTTCCAGCCACTTGGGAATCTCAGAGGCCCCAGCGCCACACAGGAGTCTCCATACTCCACCTCGCAGGAGAAGTAGGGTTTGCCACGGCTCTGGTTGTGGCACTGTCTGCAGAGGCCTCCACTTACCAGGGCAGTTCTGCCCGCCCCTCCCAGAGCTCCCAGCCCAGACCAGGTGGGCATCTCCTCCTGGACCTGGAGGCCTCCATCCCTACACCCAGCATCAGGCACCCCGCACCCTCCCACAACGCCCCGCTCCGACCCCATAACCCACCCTGTTCCTCTCCAACTTCCCAGATCCCCCTCAGCACAAGACCACCCCCACTGTGACCTGTTTCCCAGCCCTGACCCTTCCCCTCTTCCTAGCCACCATCTTCAGACCTCAGTCTTCCAAACACCCCAGTCCTCAATCTGGGGAGGGAGCAGGGGAAGGGAGGCAGGGGTAAGGGCAGGACACTGTCCCACCCAAAGAGCAGGCCACAGTGGAAAAAGCTGTCGAGAGGCCCCAGACAGAGACTGGGATTGGGTTTGCTTCTGGTTAGCCACTTGATCCCAGGCAAACCACTTTCCTTCTCTGGCCCTCAGTTACCCCACCTGCAAATGGAAATAACACTTGTGCGTGGTATAGAATTGTTGTATCGAGGGGTGGGGACAAGAACCATGTGAGAGGACTCTGAGAGACATTCCCAAAGTAGAAGACAAATTCTATTTAGGTCACTGCTGTTGCCATCACCTGCTCCCCACGCAGGGTTATGAGAACTGTACGTCAGAGGATGAAGAGCCAGCCCCGTTGCAAGGCTGCAGTTTGCTCCCACCAACATTCCCACACCTGATCCAAATCCAGCCAGGTCACTTGCCTTACCTCCCAGAGGTCCCCAGTTCCACCCCAGCCATGATCCTGAGGTACCTCCTTCCAAGACTTCCTTCACCGGCCGGAGGTGCATACCCTTGCTGGAACCGTCCACCCGCACCTCCCATGCCCCATACCCGTGGCCCCCTCCTTGAAGCCTCTGCTTACCCACCTTCAGAGGTGAGAGCTGTCCTAGGCCCGAAGTCTAACACTCAGGAACCTGTCAGGGGCCAGATCAGAGCTGAAGGCCGAGGACAAACCCAGCTACTAACAATCTTTAATCAGGTGTCACATTTTAATTAATAAACACTTTTCCGTCCCTTGCTGCCTTCAAAGGACTTTGGGAAAGGAAAGTGAGGTGGAGCAGGGACCCCTTCAGGGACCTGCTGCACCCTCTGAATCATGAAAATAAAGGAAAATCTTGAGTTCTCTCCAGGGAAATTCCAGGCACCTAGCTGGTCCTGAGAAGGAAAGGAGCAACCTGATAAGGTAATCATAGTGAAAACAGCAAGGAAGTTAGATCATAGGAGACGTGTGGTTGCCTGTAGAAACTAAAGATAACATCTCAGCATACGGCCCTGAATTGTTTTTCAGAAACCCAGACCCCCACCAAATGGACGTGCTGGCACACAGACCTCAGATAAGGGAGAACAGAGAACTCAGCTCTGCTGATCGCTCCCCACTGCACCCTGACACGCCCATCCTCTCACAGCTCCTGAAGGTGCCATGTTCTGGCACCCTGTGACCAATCTTGGAAGACCCTTGCTCAACTCTCCCCTTCCCAGCCCAGATCAGGGATCGCTTTGACCAGGAAGCCTTTTTGGACACACCAGTCTCGGCCAGGAACCTCTTCTCTGTTTCACCTGTTGCACCCAGGACCATCAACACGGAATCATCATTGTCAGCAATATTTTGTCAGTCTGCAACAAGAAGACTACAGGCACCTTAACACAGGGTCCTTCTCTCTCCCCTGCACCCAGTACAGGACCCACACACAGTAATCCATTAATAAAAACTGTCATAAGGGAACATTTAAATAAAAGAAATTTCAGCACAAAAAAGGTTTGAAGCTCAGAAGCATGAAACCTTCAAGCTGAAAGGAGACAACTGCCATCCAATCTCTTCATTTTATGGATGAACATGGCAACAGTTAGCTGTGAAGCCTCGGGCTGTCTTCCACCTTTAGCCCCACACCCAGCCCCAGCTCAGATCAACTCGCTCATAGGGCTGAAGGAGGCCCCATTTCCCCGCCTTCCACAGGTAGACATCCTCTACATTCTTCACAGAGGGGATGCCCCCACCCCACCCCACTGAGTTCGCGGTTGCTGTGCCCATCTTCCTGGAGAGTTCTCCACCACAATCTACACGCACACACTTCGAACTTCTGCGGTGCTTCCCTCTCACTCACCTCCATCCCCAACCCTTATCCCCGCTCGTTTAATTACACATTTATTGAGCACCTACTATGTGTCTGTCACTCTGCAGCGAGCACTGGGGTTCCTGCCCCCAGAAGCTGATCTATCAGGGAGGCTGACAGGGACAGGGAACTCGGAACAACGGGACAGCCCAGGAGGGGCCGCGCGCGGGCGACCCTCTATTCGTCACCGCGTCCTCCCTCCGTCCTCACTAGCCACCCTCCTGAGCTCGCTGCCTTGGCCTGGGGCCCTCCCCACCCCCGGCCGCGCCCCCTTCCCCTCCACTGTGTGGGGGCAGGGGGGACGCTTGAGACCCGGGGCTCGGGGGTCGCGCGGGCTCGAAGGGGGCGCGCGGGGCTCCGGGCAGCCCAGGCCCCCCGCCCCATCCCTCCGCCCCAGCCCAGGCTGGGCGGAGGCATTACGGGAGGAGCGGGGCCGGGCGCTGGTCCTTCCCTCGCACCGCCCTTCCCCGCCCAAAATGCAGAGGGACTCCGAGGGAGGCGACGGGGAAATAAATACCTTTGACTTTGTGGCTAAGGTTAACGGGAACTGCCACCCCGAGGGCGACTTGGGCACCGGGCTCCAGGCCCTGGCCATTCCCGGGACAGGCGGGGCGGGCACGAGTGTCTGATTGGCTGGCGGGCCTGGCCGTCCCTGGGGCCGCCCAGCCATCCCATTGGCTGCGCCGCTCAGATGACCCTCCCGGCCCTATCGGAGCAGCCCGCGGGGCGGCCCCTTTGTTCTCTGGAGCCAATAGCCGAAGTAGGAGGGCTGACCTCGCCCCCGCGGGCGAGCAAGGCCCGGCCGCTGTGAACGCGCTCGCGGCCGGCCGCGGGGCCGCTGGGAGGAGACCTGGAGAGTCAGGGCCCCGGATGGCCGATGGGATCCCGGCACCCCTACCAGGCCCGCGCGCCCATTGTTACGCCCGCACTAAGCGCACGCTCGCCGAGCTCCACGGCGCGTCGGGGGCTGTTTCTCGCTGCTGCAGACCCGTCAGGGCCCCGACAGAAACCCCGGCTGAGTGTGTGGCTGTCCTCAAGCCGCGACAGCCCCACCGTGGGATGCGATAACTTTTAGGGTTCACTGCGAGGGACCTTAGAAATCGCTACACTCGACCTCTTCGTTTTCTGTGTCGGGGAGGGGGGTCTCACTCTGTCCCCAGTGGCGCGATCATGGCTTAGTGCAGCCTTGAACCCCTGGCTCAAGCAATCCTCCCGCCCAGCTTTTAATTTTTTGTAGAGACGGGGGTCTCGAACTCTTAGGCTTAAGTGACCCTCCCGCCTCGGGTCTCCCAAAGTGTTGGGATTACAGGCCCGTGCCCGGCCCAATCGCTTTGTTTTCTAGCCGAGGAACCGCTGTGAGGTTACGTTACTAGGTCGGGTTACTAGGTAGGGCTCCCAGGAGCGGAATCATCCCCGTCCAGCTGCTAACCCGGTCCAGACTGCCAAGGAGAGACCTTCAGGAAGGAGTCTCTTCTCAACTACCCACCCCGATTGTTAAGGAAATGCCTCACGCTTCTCCCTCAAAGGGGGCGCAGCTGGGTCAACTCCCGCTGGCAGGATCCTCTCCAGGGCTGCTAGAAGCTTCGTTGGGGGCATGAGGAAGATACAGACAGAAGATGGGCCTCTGGGACTTTCTACAAACCGTTGCCGTTTGGCAACCGTTTTCTTCCGTCAACAGCTGATTAAACATTTGCCACAGGCCCGTCTGCGATTTAGCCTCAGTAGCACAGCAGGAACTGGGGACTGAGATTCGATTTTGTCACTAACTTCATGTGTACTTTTTATAAAAGATACTTTTCTGTTTCTGGACTTTGACTTATTCATCTATAAAGCAAGGTTAATAATTTTCTAGTTGCCTGCGTACCTTACTGAGTTGTTACCGTTAATTTGGTTATATTAGCTATAGAAGGATTTGTAAAATACAAAATCATACACATCCTATAAAGAGACCACACATCACTAGCTATCAACACTTTAGAGTCTCATTCTCTTCTTTATTTTTTTTAGTCACCCATTCAATGCACGAAAATAAAGAAACACTTGAGTCCCTTCAAGGGAAATTCCAGGCACCTAGCAAGCCCTGCAACCAGCAATTAGGGAAGTGAATGCATGACCTGCTAAGCAAGAAAGTAATAATAGCTTAAACAATAGTCACCCAATAATAGTCACCAATGTTAGCGTCCTCACAGAAACTGAAGATAACATCTTGACATATGTCCTTGAGTTGTTTTTCAGAAATCAGGACCCCCACCAGTGGGCATCACTTCCACTCTCTGGGCCTGTTTCCTCCTTACAGGGGAGACTTCCTCCCGACTGGCATCCCATGACCAAGGGTATTTCCGAGGTAGAAAAAATGGAGAACCGCTGGGATCCTATCCATTAAGCAAAAAGGGAGGTGGGGCAGGGAGGCTGCATATGCATGTTTTCAAATACGCAGGAAAAAATGTTAGAATACTCCTCAAACTCTTCATGGTGTAAGCAGAAAGGATTTGGGGGGTAGGATGGGGGATGAAGGGAGACTTTCACGTTAAATAGATCTGAATTATTTACTTTTAAAGATAATGTAATACTTTTGTAGTTACAGAAGAAAACAAATAAAAACTGTGGATTCTTCAGAACAGAAGGGCAGCTCCTGCCAGCAGACCCCTCCAACCCAGGCAGTCCTCCCTAGGGACTGCTGTGGCGATGAACCAGGCAGAGCAAAGGCCCAAGAACCACTGGGCCACCCATCAAGGGACTCGGGAAGGAACTCGAACAAGTCCACTCTGTTCCTGCTTTACCAGCCCTCTCAAGGCCACTCGTGTGACCTTTCTGTCCTTTGGACCTCTTTCCCATCCCCTCAACAAGCAGTGGGCAGTGAAGCACTGAGGACACCCACACCCCACTCTCCCCATACCCTAGACTATTTCCTTTAAACAGGATTTTCCAAAAGGTAAGGACCCCTAGTCAGATCCGCTCTCACTCTCATCCTTGCCTCCAGTGCCTCTAATACTAACCTAGTTGCCCATGCAAGGACCTGCCCTGCTCCCTGACCATCATTCCCAGACATCCACCTACTCTTTCCTGGCCATCTCCCCTTCCCTGGAAAACCTGTGTTCCCTTTAAGAGAAAAAAATGTGACCGGGGCTTTGAGACCACGCCCTCTGCTTCCAGGCTTTGACAGATAATTTGCCATCAATGACACAGGTTTTTAAGTGGCCCCATAACCTCACAAACCAAAATGAAGCTTGGAAGCTGTTCTTTCCATCCTATACACTTTAAGCCCCACCCACACAGTTAGCATTTAATATTTTCTTAACCAAGAACAGCAGCACACAGCATTCATCTACTAAACACACAGCAGTCGCCAAGAGCACAGGTTTCAGGAGTTTGGATTTGAATCTGCCTCTGGTGATTGCCAGTTACATGACCGTGCCTCCCGCACAAGGACACATGAGATAATTTAGGTCAATTTCATCAGGTGCCACGCATGTAAACAAACTGTGGTTATTCTATGTGCTCTGTGCTAAATGCTGCACATACATGCAGAAATTACTAAGCAGCAAGAAAAGAGCTTATTCATGCCTGGTAAAAATAGGCACTCAAATTTATATGAAACTACCAACTCAGGGGCGTGTACATAGTGACTGCTCACAGAGAATGGGGGTCCTGCAGGAGGCCAGCCAGGAGGCACTGCGGGACAGAATCAAATCAGCCCCCCTTTCCTGCCTAGTAAATGGCACCTGAAAAGTCTGGCATGACCCTGAGATGGAGCAGAGACCCCTCTTAGGAGCCTGCTGGGTTCTGCCCCCACTTGAAAATCATGAGAATAAACAAAAATGTGAGTCCCTTCAAGGGAAATTCTAGGCACCTAGCTAGCTCAACCAGCAATTGGGGATATCAGTGAATAACCGCTAAGCAAGAAAGTAATAATAGCTTAAACAAGTCACTCAAGTAAGAGCCACAGAATGTTAGCTTCTGCATAGAAACTAAAGATAACATCTTGACATATGTCCTTGTTTTTCAGAAGTCTGGACCCCCACCAGATGGACAATGCCAGCACATAGACCTCAGACAGACTGGAACCAGAAAATGAATAAGGAAGTTCCAGAAATTCCTCAGCCCCTAACTCACTTTGAAACAACCCCACCCCTGCCTTAAATACCCTTGCTTATAAGCCATCAGAGTGTTTGAGCCTTAGCGGCCCATTCTCCTCACCTGGCATGCGCTACAGAAACACCTTGCTTTCTCTGGCAGCAAATCTCTCTGTTGACATTAGGCTTTGCAAACACTGGGCAAGTGGACCCAGGTTGGGTTTGACAACAACTTCAAAGAAGGCTGACTCCCTGGGGTGTGAAGTGTGGAAGCTGAGTGCTGTGTTAGCTGCTCGGAACTGCCTTCCCTCCCAGAGGCTCCTTCATCTGTCCAGCCTCTGAAGGGCTACTGGAGGCAGAGTCCAGGTATAACCGAAGTCTATTTAACACCCAGCACCTCTCAAAAGAGCTCATAGTGCTAGCTGGAGTTTCATGAAGGCCCAGATGATTAGGTGTCCCTCAGACCACCTAAGAGGTCAAGTGGCCAGGAAGAGAAATCTTGGTACCAAGCTGAGCACCTCCCACCCACCACAGTTCTCTACAGCCTCGGCCCACCACCCAGAGAATTAGCCCACCTGCCTGGGTGTGCTCAGGGAAGAGCTAAGGCAGGGTGCCAGAGCTCAGCAAACTGGGCATGAGGCCTGTGGCCAGAGCCCCACCCACGGCCCCCTGTCCTTCTAGGGAGGAGAGCATGCTGCTCCTCACATGTCACAGCTCCCCAGGAAAAAGGAACACTCCCCAGCCACCAGTTCTAAAACCAAATCTTTATTCTCTAGTTTGAAAAGGGGGGTAAATGTTTTTTATTCTAAAACCAAATCTTTATTCTCTAGTTTGAAAAGGGGGGTAAACGGTTGTTCTGTTTAGTTCCAGAGAACAGAACAAGGCCCAATAGGTAGAAATTATAGGAAGGCGGAATTCATTCATTATCAGGAAGAATTTCTAACAATTAGAAAGTCTAACAATTAGAATCATCCAGGGCCTTAGGAGGTGGGGAAGTCCCTGTGACCTAAGTGCTCAAGCAGAGCCCAGGTGTCCATATGCTAGAAATGGTGAAAGGGAAATTCATCGGTAACTTCCCTTCAGCTGGCCCTCCACCACCAATGGGGCAGTCCTTTCCACATGCTGAGCTCTGGAAGGAGTGGAGGGGCTGGGGTGTTCAGACACGAGCCGGAGCCTGGACACAGCGCCACAGACAGCCAGGGGACGGTCTCAGCGCTGGGAGGGGCGACAGACATAGCAAGACAGACCAAGGAGGAAAGGCCTTGGCGTTTTGCTCTTTGGGAAGGAAGAGGATGGGAGTGCTAACAGCAGATGGTGCTCTCCAAGTCTGAGTGCCTATGCAGGGGGCAGGAGGGAGCGGATGGGAGAGGTAAGAGTGGCTCGGCTTCACTTCTTGCTGCTGGCAAAGGCCCAAGTGCTGTCTAACAAGGCCAGCAGGTTTTCCAAGCTGTATGTAGCCCAGAGCATTCATATACAGGACTGTACCACGCCTACTTCCAAAAATGATCTGAAGTAACTTACAGAAAAGACAGGGAAATTAAGGCGTTAACACCAGAGGATGGAGGGTCTTCCTTTCCACTGGGGGCTCCTCTAGCCAGAGGGCTCTAAGGGGCAGATGCTATTGCTACTTTTCCAGGGCACAGGGCAGTCAGGAAGGAACCTTAGCGCACACACACACCAGATGGAGGCCGGCATCCCTGAACTTGGAAGTGGGTTCCCTGGCTGCCAGGATTGACGTCTCTGGCTAACAGGGCCCACCCAGCTCACTCCTCGCCTCTTCTATCCCCTCTGGGATTCCCACTGTACCCTAACCCAGCACGAGGCAGGCAACCCCAGCCCACTTTGACTCCCGCCACGAGGAACCCCAGGCCTGTCTCGGCCTCCCCGGCCCCGCCCACCGTCTCAGACATCGTGCTTCTTCTGGTGGGCCAGGAGCCTCTCCTCTTCGTCGAAGGTCTGGCCACAGATGGCACAGCAGAAGGCGCCGTCCCGGATGTGGCTCTTGCGGTGGGTGATGAGGTTGGACTTCTGGCTGAAGCTGCGGTCGCAGTCGGGGCAGGCGTAGGGCCGCTCGCCCGTGTGGATTCGCCGGTGCGACACCAGGTTGGACTTCTGGCTGAAGGCTTTGCCACAGTCGGGGCAGACGTAAGGCTTCTCGCCGGTGTGGATGCGCCGGTGCGCCGCCAGGTAGGGCTTGTGGCGGAAGGCCTTGCCGCAGTCGGGGCACACGAAGGGCCGGTCGGGGGCGTGGTCGCGCCGGTGCGCCGCCAGGTGGCTGCCCTGGGAGAAGCGGCGGCCGCACTCCTCGCAGGCGAAGGGCCGCTCGCCCGAGTGCACGCGCGAGTGCGCCACCAGGTGTGTCTTCTTGCCGAAGTTCTTCCCGCACTCGGCGCAGGCGAAGGGCCGCTCCCCCGTGTGCTGCCGCTGGTGGGCCCGCAGGAAGCGCTCCAGCCGGAAGCTCCTGCCGCAGTCGTCACAGCTGTAGAGGGACGGGGCCGCCTCGGCCCGGTCCTGCGCGGGCTCTCCCGGGGCGGCAGGCGGCGCCTCCTGGGCGGGTTTCAGCGATGCCGCCGGGGTGGGCTCGGCTGCGCACTCCTGGGGGCCGGCTGACCGCTGGGGGCTCCCCGGGCCGGTGGCGGCCTGAGCCGACCCCTCGGATCGCCTGTGAATCTTGCTGTGAGACAGCAGGTTGGGTTTGTGCCGGAAGCGGCGGCCGCACTCCTTGCACGGGTAGGGCTTCTCGCCGGTGTGGATGCGTCGGTGCGAAGTCAGGTAGGGCTTATTGGTGAAGCGCTTCCCGCACTCGGGGCACTGGTGGGGCCGCTCGCCCGTGTGCACGCGGCGGTGGGCGATCAAGTTGGGCTTGTGCCGGAAGCGCTTGCCACAGCAGGCACACTGGAAGGGGCGGTCGACCGCATCTCCACCGGGCCGGGGGGCGGTCACCGCGGGGCGGCCCCTGGGCCGGGGCCCCAGAGCCTTGGCTGCAGCCTCCTCCAGCGCCTCGGCTACGTGCACCCGCTTGTGGGCAACTAGCTGGTCCCACTGGGCGAAGCTCCGGCCACAGTTGCCACATATGAAGGGCCGGGCCTCCGGGGCGGGAGGATGGCACCGCCGCAGATGAGCTCGAAGCTGCTTTCGTCGCCAGAAGCGTCTCTCACATTTGGGACAAGCGATGGGCCGCTTTGCAGCCGAATGGGCCTGCAGATGCAGAACCAGGGCCACCCAGCCTCGGAAGCTCTGCCCACAGAGATGGCAGGCGAAGCCCAGGTCTGGGGTGGCAGCAGCATGGACCTGGCGGTGCAGTGCTAAGAAGGGGGCATGGCGGAAGCGACGGCCACACTCAGGACAGGGCAAGGGCAGCCGGGCCTGGCACCGGCGGGCGTGAAGCCATAGAGCCACCCAGCCGGGGAAGTGCCTTCGACAGTGGGCACAGCGATGGGCCCTGCCCGGGGCTTGGGCACCAGACTGGGCCACTGATATGCCTTGTTGCCTCAGCCTGCGGGGCTCCTTCTCCAGGGTCTGGGGTGACTCCTGGGAGGGCCCAGAAAGGAGTCGGGGCTGGGCCAGGCCCATGGCCAGGGGGCCCCTGCAACGACGTTCCAGCATCGGTTCTTCCTCGGCTGAGGGTGGAAAAGCACAGTCACTCCAGAGACCAACTCACCCTGCCCGGTTCCTGCCCCATTCCTCCCCTCCCAACCTCAGCCCCAGGCAGGAGCTGCCATCTGTGAATCCCTAGAGCCCTGGGCATGGAGCTACACTACTCTCCCATTTCTTTGTGTGGTATGTATTATTTCAACCTTGGGGTTTTAGATAACATTTCAAGGATAGTTGTCTTATGTCTTTATTGCCCTGGAAACTTCCAGAAGGGAGAGACTCTGAGACTAGAATCCCCCTCATGGCAGCTACCCCAATGTCGGACAGACAGTAAATGCTCCAGTGCTGAATGCACACACATTCCTGCCACAGGACTCACCAGAAAAACGTCACCACTGCTCCCTACAGTGCCTTATGCTTTTCCAAGTGCGTTCCTGCTGTCCTCTCCCTGTGTCTGCTATTTCCTATGCCACACTGAGCTGCGCAGCAACTCTGTGAAGCTGGACAAGCAGACACTGAACTCCCTGTTTCACAGATGAAGCAACTGTGAGGCATCAAAAGATGACAAGACCTGCCCAAGGTGACACAGTGAGCCAACAGCAGAACCAAGACTAGGGAACAGGTCTCTAACTCCAGGCCAGTGTTCTTTCCTCTAAAACACCTGGTTTGCAAAGATCTCAGAAAAAAACAGTTTCTAGAGCCTTTCATTCATAGCCCCACAGGTGAGGCACTTTCAGTGTCTCTATCTGCAGTCTCAGTGGGAGCCTGGAGGACAAGTAAGAACAGTCCTTCTCCGGGAACAGGACTGCTGGTGCTACTCCCAGCAGTCTAATGCCAGACCACTGCCTGTCCAGACTGTGCCCACACTCTGCCCGCCTGCCCTCTTCAACCCACACAAATTAGGACACTGCAGGAAGGAATGCTCTCCCTGAATCCAAGGAACACCCACAGCCTGCTGCCCTCAGGGCCTGATCGCTGGCTCTGCCTCCCTTGGGGTGCTAGAGATTACTGGGGCAAGAGAAAGGGAGGGAAGATGAGATTGTAATCTCAGTCCCCTGCCTGGTCCTGCCCCATGTTCATCTCTTCCACAGCTCAAGGGAGCCCATATTCCTGCACAGGAGCCTCCTCCGCGGAAAGCAGGCTGTGGCGGCTGTTAGGCTCCTAAGGGCCCTTCTGTGCCTGCTCACCAGCTCCAGACACATCCTTCTAAATTCCCTAGAGCCCACTCTCTTCTCAGGGAACACAGAGGTCACTCATTCCCAGTGTCAGACGGTGCACAGGGAAGACCCCTCCCAGGATATGAGAAAGGGCCCTTTCCTTCCGCGGAATGGGGACGCCTGTGCACCCCAGTTGTGGAGTGGTTTGTGAGCACAGCAAAGGCCAGACTCTACCCTGGAGACTGCAGAGCTGGGGATCAGGCTTTCTCCAGCTCCTCCTGGGGATGTTCCTGGGGATACTTCTGCGGCTGCAGCGCCTGCTTCGGCCCACACTCCGGTAGCCCCCAGGTGTCAGAGAAAACTGCAGCAATAAAGACACCCCTACCCCCATGGCAGAGCTCAGACCTCTGACTGCGGAGAGGCCAGCCTTACCTGTGGGGAGGGGAGAGAAAACAGGAGTGAGGCTCTGAGCTCCTCTAGGGCAGGAAGCTTTGTGTCCTCACCAGCCACAATCCCTCCCCCCACAAAGCCACACGCTCCAGCGTAAGCCCCACACCCAGCCTGGCAGAGTGACCTTAATGGACATTGGATTAATAAATGAATGTGCCCCTTCAACAAGGAAGCACACTGCTGTCTTTGGGGATCACTTCCTTCCCTGGTAAGGTCACAGAACGAATTCTCCATTCTGTGGCCAGGGTCTGGGCTTTCCCTGACCGCCAAAGGCCGGCCTATGGTAGGAACTCTGGAATCCCTGCTGGCTCCCCTTCCCCCACCCTCCTCCCGACAGGAATTCCAGGCCTATTTCCCATGGGGCTGCGCAGGGCCAGCTGGTGTGACCAGGACTCGGTCAGAACCCCCTTCCGCATCGTGGCTAGCTGCGGTGGCAGAAGCCCCACACCGCCCTTTTGTACTGGTGCGTGTCCTCCGTCCACGCTCCCGGGCACACGGGTACCACTCCTGCGAGTGAGCCATTTCGGGTCCCACGCACGGCGCAGCTCGCAGATCCTGTGCGCAGGTGCGCTCCCCCACCCCCTCAGATCCAGCAGCGTCCCCCCACCCCACCGCGCACTCACACACGGTCGCGCACACTCACGGTCACGCGCCCCGCAGTGCAGCGGCCCCCCGCGGGCCCGCGAGGACCCCCGCGCCCCTGCCCGGGCCGTACCTCTGCGGCGGGCTGTGCAGGGGCGCAGCGCCCGTCCATGGAGCCCGAAGGCCGGCCTCCGCGGCCCGCTCCCGCTCCTCGCCCCGCCGCGGCGACAGCGGCAGGTTCGAGTTCACAACTGCCAGGCCCGTCCCCAACCTCCCCCCGCCGGGTTCCCAGCGCCACGTGACTACAGGAGCTGAGGAGGGTCAGTCGCCGACTCCCGCGGCCGCGGCCTGGGGGCGGGGCAGGGCGGGGTGGGACGGCCAGGGCCCGGGGGTGGGCCCCCCCTCCCGAGCCGGCCGGGTGACCTTCGCAGCTGCAGCGCCTGGGTGGCCGGCCTCAGAGGGCCCTACTCGGTTGCCATGGCTACCACCAGCGCGGGTCTCTGGGGACCGGCCAGAGCTCAAGTTTCCCGACCCTTTGTCCCTGCGGAGGATGCGCGTCCCCGGGCGACCGCCTGGCCGGCCTCTGGTCACCGGGGCTGGTCGGTCGTCGTTGGCTTATGAGAGGCTCGGAGCCCGTTGGGAGACTTCAAAGAGGGCGCCAGCCGCCCCCGGAGCGTCGTGCCCGGGGCCTTTCCCAGGCCGCTCACCCGGGCCACAGTGGGGACGCTCTCGGGCGCTGCAGGCCCGGGACGGCGGTGGCGCACCTGGAAGTCCCAAACTTCCAAAGTGGAGCACGAAAAGGCCCGATCCTACGAACTTTGAAGAGGCCTCTCTTCCCTCTTTTCCAGAAATTAAGAAAGAGCAGAAGTTGCCGGACTTCCTCTGGCTACGGGCCAGGCGGAGCCACGGCCGAGGTGGGAGGTGGCCGTTGGCGCATGTGGGGCATTCGCTTGGAAACGCGCAGCAGCCTGTGCGGCGTCTGTGTGGCAGGTGCGAGCCTGTGCCCGTGACTCACCCACTAGCAGGTGGCCCTGGCTTTCCAAACTATACACTTCCTGGGGTTTCCAGAGTAGTACAATTTCGTGTACTCTCATGCTTTTCAACACAGGCAATTTTTGAATTGCCGTAAAACATTTTTTAAAATCTGTCGCATAAATGGGATATAGGGGAACATAAAACTCAGCTTTACCTCCTAGAGTCAATTACAGTTAATATTTTGGTATGTTGCCTGCGGTGTTTGTCTCTGCATATCCATGGTATGGCTGGCATAATTGGGGTAATGCCTGGCAAAATTGTATTCTGCCTTCTTCACTTCACACGGTCCTATGAATTTTCTTCTATTTTATTAGGTATTCTTTTATAACATGATTCTTTGTGGCTACATAAAAGTAGACTGTTTTTAAATATTCTGTGTATGGCCATATGGGTTCATCTTTCGTTGCACGTGCCGGCTTTAAAAATTCTGGAAGTGGGAAGCTGATGTGTCAAAGGCAAAGCATATTTTTTAAAGGTTTTCTCAATTATCTTCCAGGAAAACTTATTCGTTTTCCGTTTTTAAATTGAATTTTAAAAATAAAACAGTCTGTGATGTCAAGTATATGAAAAATGACCATTTCCATATACTTGACATCACAGACTGTTTTTTGTTTTAATTTACTTTAAAATGGTTATTTCTCATCTTCTGTACTTTGTTAGAGTATTAGTTCGCTGGATTGTTTTTTCACATGGTTATTTTTTGCCAGTTTTATTTTCTCTTCTGTTAATTTGTTTATGTCCATTTGCCCACTTTTCTGTTTGCCCATTTTAAAAGTTAGGGAGTTGGCTTTATTGTTTGAGGGGCAGTCATCAAGTACAGGTATGAAAGAATTGTCATGTTTGTTGCAGACGTGTTTACTCCATTTGTACTTTAACTTGTTAACTTTTTTTTGAGATAGGGTCTCACTCCGTTGCCCAAGCTGAAGTGCAGTAGCACAATCATGGCTCTCTGAAGCCTGGACTTCCTGAGCTTAAGCAATCCTCCCCACCTCAGCCTCCGAGTAACTGGGACTACCAGGTCACACCACCACATCCAGCTAATTATTTTATTTTTTTTCTTTCGGAGAGATAGTGTCTCACTGTGTTGCCCAAGCTGGTCTCAAATTCCTGGGCTCCACTGATCCTCCCGCCTCAGCCTCCCAAAGTGTTGGGATTGCAGATGTGAGCCACTGCGTCCGAACTACCTTTTCAATTGTAGGTGTGAGATCGTTTTAGCCTATGTGCTGCCAAAGCGAGCATGAGAATGTTTTGTTTTAATGTGCCAAAACTGACCAGTCTTCCTTTACAGTTTCTGCCTGTAGAGTTATGTTTAGAGAGGCCACCTCCAACCTAAAACTATATTTAATGTTTGTAGTTTTATCGCAGGAAATAAATTTTGGTAACTGGTAGTGTAAGTACTTCCCCTACACACAGACTCTGGGTTTTTTTTGTTCATCGTAACTTCTTAGCTAGAATCACTTCATTTATTCTTCCAAATGGATGTGGAACAGCTGTCCCTCTCAGAGGCCTGCAGGAAATGAGGAGGGGGCGAGCATGGACATAAAGGAAAATCTTGAATTCCCTCAAGGGAAATTCCAGGCACCCAGCTAGCAGCGTAATAAACAAGAAGGTAAGGATAGCTTAAAACAAGGAAGTTAGAGTCACAAAATGTTTGGTTCCCTATAGAAACTAAAGACAACATCTTTTTTTTTTTTTTTTTGAGACAGAGTCTCGCTCTGTCACCAGGCACCAGGCTAGTGTGCATTGCAGCGATCTTGGCTGACTGCAACCTTCGCCTCCCAGGTTCAAGCAATTCTCCTGCCTCAGCCTTTCAAGTAGCTGGGACTCCAGGCACGTGCCACCATGCCCAGATAATTTTTGTATTATTATTATTTTTTTTTTAGTAGAGATGGAGTTTCACCATGTTGGCCAGAATGGTCTTGATCTCTTGACCTCGTGATATGCCAGCCTCAGCCTCCCAAAGAGCTGGGATTACAGGCATGAGGCACCACGCCCGGCCCACATAACTTTTAAGTCTCCTCCTTTATGCCACCCTTTGAGGCCAGACCAGGCATCACCTCCATGTATCAATTCATGATTTTGCCCATAACTTCTCCTTTCCTGAAATTTACCCCTGCCTTTAAAAATCCTTGCTTGTAAGCCATTGAGGAGGTCAGGTCTTAAGTATGAGCTGCCCCATTCTCCTGGCTTGGTGCCCTGCAAATAAATGTGCTCTTTTCTCCAGTTGCAAAATCTCAGTGTTGGAATTTCCTCTTACTGCACTGGGCAAGTAGACCCCACTTCAGTTTTGTGACAAAATGAACTTTAGAATTTCTTGTCAATATTTTAAAAGCCTGATTGTCTTTAAGATTCATGTCTCTTCACTCTATTTATTCAGGTCTTCTTTTACCTATCCTAGTCAAGCTGACTAATTTATATATTCACTACTTAACTTTTATACTTTTGTTGTTGTTGTTGTTGTTGTTGTTGAGGCAGTGTCTTGCTCTGTCAACTAGGCTGGAGTGCAATGAATGGCCTGATATCGGCTCACTGCAACCTCCACCTCCCAGGTTCAAGGGATTCTCCTGCCTCAGCCTCCTGAATAGCTGGGATTACAGACACACACCACTATGCCTGGCTAATTTTTGTATTTTTAGTCGAGCCAGGGTTTCACCATGTTGGCCAGGCTAGTCTCGAACTCCTGACCTCAGGTGATCGACCCGCCTCGGCCACCCAAAGTGCTGGGATTGCAGATGTGAGCCACCACGCCCGGCCCAACTCTTATAACTTTATAAAATAAAATTCACAAATATGAAAAAAAAAACTTTGTCATATCATATAGTTTGTGGGTTCTGAAAATATGGTCATAGCATATCATAGAACATAGGCCAAGTTTAGTAGTTATGGAAGAATGATTTTTTTCTACCAACAGTGTGATAAGATGCTCCAGTTATTACCTACTTAGTAATAATAGTTAACATTTAGGGAGGCTTTACTTTGTGTCAGGCTTGGTGATAAACTCTTCACATACATATCTCATTAATCCAGTCAACAACCCTATGCAATACTCTTCTGGTCCTTATTTTACAAATGAAACAGCCGAGCCTCTGAAATGTTCAAGAACTTACCCAAGGCCACTTGGCTGGACAGTGGCTGATCTGAACCCAGTAGCGCCCCTCTGCCCTCACTGTTAACCACTAAAGTTGCATGTATGCTGGCCCGGGCACAGAGGGGCCATGGGGTTCCCCCAGGGTTAATGAGTGAGTTTGGACATCTAATGCTTCTCCATTTCTACAACTCGACTTGATTCCTACCTTCCTGCAAGAGCCTTGAAAGGAGAATTCCCTCCTAGACTCACAAAGTATCTTCTTCTTGTCTATAATCTATCTTTCATAGCAGAAAGATTCTTCATTTAAACAAGGTCCTAACCTCCCTCATTCCCCAGCCTCCAGTAGAAGAAATGTCTCTTCTCCCAGTCGGGAGTTAACCACCTGCCGTAACTTCCTCTTTCTGCGTAGCTAGAGGAAACTGAGTGTGACCGTGCCTTAGTGCCACAGAAAGAAAATGAGCGGCAAAGGAGCTGTGGAGGGATTCCTGAGCCTTCGTGCCAGCTGGAAACTTAAGGCCTTGGTATTTGGGACTTCACCCTTCAAAATGTCTTAGAGGATGGCCCAGCGACCAGCCAAATGGCCCAGTGGCCTGGCCCAGTGGAGAAGGTCTCAGCTTTTGACAAGCCAGCTGGAGAAAGGGCTGGACAGGAAGGGGCCCACGAACAGCAGATAGTGATAGGGCGCCCTGGGGAGACCCAGTTTCCCTCCAACAGTGCCTGGCTCCCATTATCGGATTAGATGCAAAGTAGGCTGGCATGCCAAGGGGTGAGGGGAACAGCGTCTCCGGAAATCCTCTGTGAAGACACCCAAGTATTGTTGAGAAGCACCCCTGTATCTGGAAGATGGAAAACTGCACCCACTGCATGCAGACATGCGGTTCCAGTTCTCCCCACAGGACTTGCTCATACATCCAGCAAATATTTAATCTGTGCCCACCACCTGCCACTGTGCCAGGTGCCGGGCCTCATCATGAGTCAGGCAGAGGTGGTCCATGCAGTTTTTCCACAATGTGAGATGGTGCTGAGAAAACTTTCAACTCTCGTTTAACTATGGAACTATCTCTTGGTTTAGTACCTACTACAAAATAAAACCAAGCACTTGTTGATAATTTCTGAGTGGGTGATTGTGGAAAAGCCGGAGAAGACTGGGGATCAAGCAGGAGAGATAGAATAATGAAACTTCCCTTATCTATCATCACTG